CAAAACTACATCACAAAGAAATGAATAATATATATATATATATATATATATATATATATATATATATATATATGATACGATATGATATGATATGATATGATATGTTGAAGTGGAAAAATCTTGGTATCAGGCTTGAGATGAATGATCTCCAAGTATTGGCAATGCAGATCTAGTTTCCTTTTTAGAAATGAAAACATCTAGTTATGTAATACAACAGAGTCTAAAGCTATGTGATACAAACTAAATGACTGATTTTCGCTCTGGCTGAAGTATGAGTACCAAGGTCTAAAGCTAAGAAAAAACCTCAGCATTCCAACCCCATGACCTCTTCAGTAGTTATCTGTAAAATGTGAAGCACAAGTCCATGATGAATGCCAGCTAAAGTAGCTAAAATGAGCCACCCACCTTTCTGCTGATATAGGCATAACAAACACCAAAATAGCCAATGAGAACAAGCTTCAAATATGGTATTATATTCTCTCATCTTCCACCTAAACTTTCTAATCTAGTGCCAAAGTTCCATTGCCAGCATCTCCATCAGTAGTTAGGCCAAACTGTGCGTTGCTTGTAAACAAATCGAGGAATGGTTGCAACTGGCATCATACTAACTATTAGTTGGTGAATTTAAGAAATGATATTGCCAAGTGGCAACCTAACATCCATTTAATAAGTATGGAGGCATATAAATCACAATGAAAGACCTTCAGCTTCCAAAAAGGTGATTTCCTTCAGGATTTGAACAATGCTAAAAAATGTTTAAATTTCAGAGAGGGGATATATATACCGTGAAGGCAATCAAGTTGTCAATTGGCTAGCAAATCATGCTAGAATGTACCTAACTTCAGCTTTTTGGAGAGCAGAGTGGTCCTATAGTCTTTCTTCTCTCATTGCCTCTGATCTAAGGGGTGTTATTTTGTACTCATGCGGTTGAGTAATTAATTTTTTTTTCAGAAAAAAAAATGTTCAAATTTTCAATATTGTACTAGAAAATTTTCCTTTGGAATTGCAAATATTTGTACTAGAAAGATATTGAATAAATTATCCAAGTCATTCTAAGAATAAAAAGTTGTCGTTGATAATAAACTGCCTAGCTATTCACAACTGGAAATGAAAACTTTAGTTCTGTTCGATCTTCCCCATATATCTAAAATGCAGTATTGCTTATTTACAGTCTAGGAAAGAACAAAGAACAATGCAAGTCTGCAAATTTAATGAACTTAATATTGTACAGCTGCAAGAATATTGGTCTACCAAACATATGGAATTGATGAGTGCAAAGTTTCCACTTAATGACCTGTGATGATTTTCCATAACCTTTATTGCCCCTGCAGCCACCATACAGGAAAGCAAAATCATCTTCATTATGAAAACTAAGCCATTAACTTTATGAGGCTAAAACCATGTGATCCAAAATGTTTACACTCAACCAAGTGGTTGGGAGTCCATCTTACCTCATTTATCATCATAATTATTCTGGGACTATTTGGTGTGCCAGTAAAGAAGTCATAGATACTTCCAAGTAACACTTGGTATGACAAAAGTCATAGATACCTCAAGTAAGGTCTTGGTATTAGAGACCTTAGCGTGGCTCAGAAAACCATATGTGCTAAACGCCTCAGGAAAACCATCTTTGGGTTTGGATTCTTAAAGCTAAATATGATGGGTTAAAACCTTGGAGTTCTGAAAGATTGTACAACTGTTCCTGGAATTAGAGGAATCTGTGTCGTCTGATGAGGGATACGGAGGATGGGTTTAAGAAGTATATTGGCTCGAGTGTGGGTAGTCACCATTGGAATGAGGCTTGGGTGGGTACCATCCCATTTAGCCACTGGCCTACGCTGGTTAACATCAATTGTTTTAATGATTTTAATTCAGTTTCTAATTCATTATCTCGAATGACTGAAATGTTACCCTGCTGAATTCATGTTTTCATCCTTGTTTAATGAGTAGGATCTGAAGGAAACATTTGGCTAGGAACCCCAGTGATGACTGCTGGGTTTGGGTCTCAACTCCGGATGGCTGTGTCACTGCCAAAAGTGCATATCATTCATTGAGAGGAAGGTCTCAGCCTAGTAATCTCAATACTGGTCCAGTTGGACGACTTTGCGGAACATGAAAGTTTATCCTAAAGTTCAAATTTTCATGGAAGATTAGGTGGAACAAATTGCCTGCTTCTGATTACATTGCTGGTATCATTCACTGACAAATTCTGTTGTGTCCTGTGTGCAAAAATGTGCTTCAGAATCTGCTAGCCATGATGTGTTTCAATGCAGAACTGCTTCTCTGCTTTGGGCAAAACTGGTTGAGCGTTTCCAGATTGATGTAGTGAGTTTGAGGAATGGTACACTGGATGTGGTTGGAGGGGAAACAAAGGGATGCTAACATTAGCGAGGATGTGTTTTTAGCGCTGATTTGGAACACCTAATGGCAACTTTGGACAAACATGAATGACATTCACCTATCACAGCCATCAGACGAGTGTGGAAACCCTCTTCACGACGGTGGCAGAGACCATTGATGACTGCTTGAGGGTTCTCCTGAAACTTGATGGGACTCCTAGCCAAAGGCCCAAGGGAAACTTACCACTAATAGACGATTACAGATTCAGCATGGAGTGTGATGGGTCATTTAATGGTGATATGTTTTTGCAAGGGCTGGATTCATATCAAGGATGGATGGGGGCACTTAGTGGCAGCTGGGCATGCAGCTTGCGAGGTGGAAAGGGCTGTGTGTGGAAGGCAAGGCCATTGTACTGGCTCTGGAGAGGATGCAAGCCGAAGGATGGAGCGATGCTCGGGTGCAGTCTGACCCTAAAGAATGGATTGACTATATCAATAATTGATCCCAGGTACCTTGGTACCTAAGGACCCTTCATAGGGACATTTTGAGTTTGTCTAGTGAAATCATGTTAAAGGGTTTGTACACATTAGGCGTGATATGAAGTGAGGTGCCCACAGGAGGTTAGCTAACCAGGCAGGGAAGAGCCCAAGGAGTTGTGCAATCCTGGGGTGGAAGTTTTGGTTGGGATTCTATGCCTCACTTTTTTTTGTAGCCGATGGCTAATCTATAGAAGTTCTTTCTTTTTTCAAAAAAAAAAAAAAACAAATGAGATGCACAGTTTGTATCGAATATATAGCATACTGCTTACTGATATATAATCTAGATGAAACATTTGTAAGAAAGCAATCTAGTTGATAAGTAATAGAATAAAGTCAACTATGCGTTGTACAGCCAATGAATTTAACATTAGCATAGTTTGTATCACTTGGTATGACAGATATATAATGAGATGCATAGCTTGTATAAAAAATGTAGCATACTGCTTACTGATATAATCTAGATGAAACATTTGTAAGAAAGCAATCTAGTTGATAAGTAATAAGAACAAAGTCAACTTATGCGATGTACAGCCAATGAATTTAACATTACCCTAACATCATTAGATCCTTTTGAAAATTTATTTGGTGTTGCAGCAAATTTCAATCAGTCGATTCCTCTTATCTTTGGAACTCATGCTACATTACAATTTCTTCTTGAACTTGTCAGTGCTTTCCAGCGACAAGACTCGATCACATCTTCAAAGTTAAGACAAATCCCACCTTTTTATTACCATAAAGAGAGAAATCCAAAGCTGGTCAAAATGCGAACACAACTACTGATCACCAGACTAGTCCCACGATTTCAGAATTAAACAACTCCGACGGACCCAACATCGTCGATCTTCCGATCATGCTTTCCTCCTCCTTCTTACCAAGACAAGCAATCACTGCACGTCGCCAAAACCTCAGTTTGACGACAACCACTCCCATCACATCCCAGACCGAATGATTTCAAGAATCGCCCACAACAGAAGACATAACGAAGATATAGACCTAACGGGAGAAGATAAAGGATAACCTGAACAAAGACGCCGAGGGGGCAGCAATGATAACCCACCCTAGCGAGGGGAAAGAAAGGAGGGCGGGCACTGACGCGGAGCTCAGCGCCAACAGAGACGGCACTCCGCTTCCGTCGCGTGCGAACGATGACGGGGCTCGGTCTTGTAAACTGACTCACGTGATACGCACCCATCCGGCCCAACAATTAAATTTATTGGGCCCAATGGGCTCCTATAGTTAGTTACTTGGTAGCTCCAAGCGAGAAGGTTATATTGATTAAAGTAATAATCTTGATGTATTAATATCCTCAGTGCTACCATTAATCGCATGCTTAAGTTATTGATTGAGAAGGTTATATCTGGCACTTTAGTCTTTTTCTTTTCTGAGTGTTGCTTGTGTGGATGAGAGTTAATAATTTTGGAATCACAAACGAAGCAGTCTATTAATGCATTATCAAATCATGGATCTGTTGACTGTTGACTGTTGACTGTTGACTGCTTTCATTTCAAAAGGAACATGCTAATGACCGTGTGGAAACCATGATCTTCTTTCTGCTCATGTGCATGCACCACCAACTGGGTGATGAGAATCACATTTAAACAAATGAAGGTTGTTCACATTGACGTCTTTTGGTGATTATTTTAGGGTATGGATAAGGAGATGATGGCTCGAGTGCCTGTCTATAAAGCCAGCCTATGGGTTAATGATCTCAGCCAAGGCATTGGCACAAAGGATTTACTCTTAGCTCTCTTTTCTCGTCAGTCCTCCTTCTTCTAGAGCTGGTTTCGTTCGGCAAAAACGAATATGGACCGGTGGGGATCAAACTCGTGGTCTCCATAATGTAAAGTCGATGCTCTTTACATTCCCTAGTCAAACAAGTTTCTTAAGCTTTGTTCTCCTCCGCGTATGATCCTGTGTTTTCCTCTCAGCGAGAGATTTTTTATGGTCATGGATTCTTGCTTCTAGATTCAGAATTTTGTGGCATCAGAGGCAAGAAATTACGGCTAGATTTTGCGGCAGCGATGAGCAAAAGGCATGAAGAAAAAGTTGGAAGTTTAGATAATAGCATGACAACAAACACGTAGGAGATGCAGTACCACAAGCTTTTCGCAACCAATGATTCGATATTATCCGTCAAGTGAATTAGATTTTAACTGGTTTTTTCTGTGTATAATGCTTGATATAATCTTGTGACCATTTGGATCGTCTTTTCATGGTCATTTTTATGCAATTATTTCTTAAAGTTTTGATGTTATGTGAAAATCGTTTGAGGAAATAACGTTTTCAATCCCAAGGACGGACACCGATCGAAGACTACACCCGATGGCCGCGGCTCATCGTGATCAAGAGGAAACATTACATGTGATGCAGCAAACAGAAAGAAGCAATCTTCCACTGTTCTTGGATTCAGGAACATGATTTATTCCGAGGGAAATTTTGCACCGCGAGAAGACTGTGCAATCAAATCTTCTACCGGTGGAGATCATGGCCATCAGAAACAGCAATTTGCTCGACACTTGGACTTGCTTCTCATGAAATTAAAGGTCAGGAGAGTCTGTCGAACTATCAACACTCATTGCCTGTTTGCTTTGGTTGTCATCTTCTTCTTAGTCCCACCACAGTTTCTATTTTTAGTCTCGAATTGCTTTATCGCGGGGTGGGGTCTCATGGATAACCTACTCAAAATGAGCATCGATGGTGGCTTTGTCAAGCTTCATCATAAAAAGAAGGCTGGATGTTCGGAGGGTCACTCGCTCTTGGCATCACAGTCCAAGCCATGAAAACAAAGCGTTTTTGCTTATAAAGACTTGGCATCGATAGGAGCCTCTGGTGTATTGACAGACATATTTGGTATCAATTTCTTGATTACACTCACGTATAAGACCAAATTAAAACATTGCCAAGCATTGTCAGCATCAAACTCGAGGAAGCTTACCCAGAGATCGATTTGCATGCAGAATTATCACTACAGAGAGAGAGAGAGAGAGAGAGAGAGAGAGGATGACGACCGGTAGACAAAAGATGCTTCCAACTTGGTAATCTACTCGAGACTGGCATTTTCTATTACCGAGGTTAGAACAACTTGAATTAGAGATATATATATATATACACACACAAGGTAAAAATGTATATTTTTTGACTTGATGCATCCAATCCACTGTGCCATACAGCAAACACTGTATGTATTCTTCTCATCCGTGGACCGTGCAAGGTAGAGGAGAGTAGACTGGTTGGTGAAGCCTATGAGAGAGTGGAAACCTACATCACTTTCTCCACTTGGGATATAAAGTGGTTGGAGTGGTTCTACCCATAGGAGCTCCAAATTGTTTCTCCTCTAGGTTTTTATTGGTTGTCGAATGATAGAGTGCATATGGTATGCTTAAGATGCAAGGCCAATAATATGTATGGGCTTGTGGTCCGGAGAAAACTACACGATCATAAACAATGCTGCTTCTGATGCAAGGGAATGGAGGCATAGGTGATAGCTTATGCACAGTGATCGTTCACCGGCCTGCGCTGAGTTAAACAACGAAGAGGGTTCAGTTTCCTAACGTAAAGCCAAAGAAACTGTGTAAAATGTCCTTTCCCGACACCTGCGCACGTTGTGGAACAAAACACCTATGGAGGATGGGAAACCTCACGGTTAACTTGGCCATCGCGACGAGCACGATTTGCAGCAGGAAAGTGCCAGATGCTCGCTTTGTGAAGACCGGTGCAGAGCCGTGCGATGCATCCTTCGACTCGGATGGCACCGGGAATGTTTCACGTCTCATCCAAAGCAGAGACTCGTTCCTGCCGGACAATTTCAGGCTCTCACACCTTCATGTCCCTGTCGCCAAAATGGAAGGCATTTGTTTCTCTTTTCTTGCACGGGGGAGACATCCTCGACAAGAGACGTTCTTAAGATTCCAGCAGCCTAACCGCCCTTAATCTCTTTCGTTCTCTAAAAGAAATCCAAGTTCGACAGTATAAATCAACCACCGCTGTGATCTATTGTTTGGTCAGACACGTTTATCGCAGAGAGAATCCAGAGTTCCCACAGAAATTGACTCACATTATCTCCACGGAGCTCACTTTCCATTTTCGTTTTTTTCCCAATCCACTGTAAACCTCAAAAGTATATGACTAGAGACGGAGGGAGTGAGCCTCCAAATATTCCTTTATAATTGCCACAAGTCACAGAGAAAAGAGGTTTACTGTTCAAATCCCATCCCATTCATTATATGTAGGCTTTGACTCTTCTCGGCATGGTGATCTATATAACATGGAACCTCAGCCCTCTTCTCCGTGTAGCTTCCCCGAGGCTCCCTACAGAAAGAAGCTTGGTCAGGAGGCAACAATGTCTGAGAAAAGAGCATCATCATCATCGTACGACAGAATCGAGCTGGGAATGGAGCTAAGGCGAGGGCCATGGACTCTAGAGGAGGACACCCTCCTCATCCACTACATTGCTTGCCATGGCGAAGGTCGCTGGAATCTCTTAGCTAGATGCTCAGGTAGCTGATGTGACTCCGATAAAGGCTACTCTTTGTTCCAATTCCTTTCTTGATGTTTGCGATTTGCTCCTAATCCGTAGCCTCCAAATCTTTTCTGCTAATTCATAGGCTTGAGGAGAACCGGTAAGAGTTGTCGGCTGAGGTGGTTGAATTACCTGAAGCCGGACATAAAGCGAGGCAATCTCTCCCCCGAAGAACAGCTCCTCATCATTGAGCTCCATGCCAAGTGGGGAAACAGGTTTTATATCCACATATGTATATATACATATACATATAAATACGTACATCACTGGTGATTTTGCATGATTTCATGAGATCATATCATACTGCATTAACGTTTCATCACGCCAATCTCTCTTTTACTTGATGCATCACTCTGTCTAGGGTTTTGATGGCCACGATCCATGATATGTGTGCGTAGGTGGTCTAGGATTGCACAGCATCTACCAGGGAGAACAGACAATGAGATAAAGAACTACTGGAGGACTCGAGTGCAGAAGCAGGCGAGGCAGCTCAAGATCGACGCCGACAGCACGACGTTCCGAGATGCCGTGCGCTGCTACTTGATGCCGAGGTTGCTCGAGAGGACGGGCTCCTCCCAAGCCGCGCCATCATCTCTGGATGCCGTTAGCATCTCTGCAGCAACGACAGCAGCGGCCGACCAAGCCCAGCAAGCTTCTCTCCATGACATCTCCGATGCCAGCATGCGATACTACGAGCCACCGGGAGCGGAGATTCGCAGCCCGAGCAGCTCGCCGTGCTCCACAGTGCTCCCTCGACTCCCAGCCACCATGGCCGAGGCGGATGTCGTCACCTTCGACCCATTCTCTAGTGGCTACTCCATGAACGACGCCTACGACCTCGACACCTGGGACATAGCTTTGATGTCAGCATCATTGCCTAGCTATGCAGCCTCCGATTACACGGTATGTAACAATAATTGCGGCAGAAACACCGGCGATAGCTTGTGGAGCATGGATGAGTTACATGATATGCTTAAAAAGCTTACCTGAGTGAGCAGAATCCAAAGTTTTGTTTCAGTGATACCCCTTGAAGAAAAGAATACAACAAGCTTAAAAGTGGATGGTGTAAGAAGTCCGTTAATTCCCGTGCTGGAACGGGAGACCTCGAGTCCTTTTGTTTTCCATGTGACTGATCTCTTGGGTAAAGCTTATCAGCTCTTTTGCAATGGAAGAGAAGAATAAGGCTTCCTCGAGTCCTTTTGAGATTGTTTTTGGCCGTTTTCGATTGGTCTGCTACATGTCGGAGGTAAAGATAACGAGTCCCACTCGAGTGAGTTCCACTGTCGACCGTAGCAAGGGATCAAGGAATAATAATGCTTTTAAGCAACCACATTGAAACTTTATTTCTCATTCAAAAAATTAATTGATTATTCCTATATACTCATAACTTTATTAATATTATTATGATATTATTATCGACCATCAGTGCCTTTTATTTTTTTTTATAACCCAAAAATGCCCTTGATAGAATAAACCCACAGGGGGCGGATCGAGAAGAGAACATCTCTCTCTCTCTCTCTCTCTCTCTCTCTCTCTCTCAAGTACTTTACTCCCCAAAGGTCAGATTCCAAAGTGGCTTTACAACGATTCTTTGCAGAAAAAAGGAGAGAGAGAGAGAGGGTTATATGTGTGCCTCCCAATCAAATCAAGCTTTGGGATGTCAGAGAGAGAGCGAGAGAGAGAGAGAGAGAGACCCGTGACGGGACTCAAGACCCAGGATGGGCCACATCATTCAGGGATGTGTATTCACTCACTGCCAACCCGGAATAAACTCCACTGTAGCAGCATTAGTTTCACCTCCATTGGTGGAGCAAACCCCTGCTGCAACCAGCAGAGGGATTTGGCTACAGTGTCAGTGAGTGTATCGTATCCCCTACGTTTCCATCACGATGTTTTCCCTACGTTTCTTCCACTGGTGTCAGACAGTCTCTCATTCGGTAAAGCTCTCGAGCGGGCTAACACGTCATCACCACATTGTATTGTGCTCCGATACGTCCCTTTCGATCAGCATATGCTGCTCGAATGAGGAGGTAAGTAAATCCAACACCACCATTTGCACACGGCAAATAAAATCAAATCAAAAAAAGAAAGATCTACAAAGAATTGAAGTCATTGCAGGGGTGGGTTGGGTCTGACCTGAGTCCAGCATTGCTTAATGGACTGGCCCGCCCAAGTCTCTTCTTGCGTACGAAGACGACCATAAGATCATACAACCCTCCTCACTATTTATGATCGACTGCAGGAATTAATTACTCGTCCAACCTATTTACTCTTGTACGTACGCCATCCTAACTCCATATGCTCTTTATTGGTTTTGCCTTGGCCTAATCTAGTTAACTTTCACGTGCACCGTCTGCGTTCCAAGAACTTGTCAGCTGTCCATTTGACTACATTTTATCTTGTTGATTTGGGCAGGAGGCTTGGCAGAATAGAATGGCTTTGTCTTCCCGGATGAAGCTTTTTCTTTGTTACCAAATTAAAGCTCCGGTTTGGTGGTATGCACCTCAAAACTCCCCAACTTTTTGGGCTGATATGGTCTGCTCTCACTAAAGGTCTGTGTCTGACTCCTGGGTGTGGCTGCTCCGGCATCGATTGTCATCATAACAGCCTTTCTGCACGCAAGGGTGAGACGGACGCCAACTTCCAACTCTTCGTCCTCTACCGCTTGTCTTCTCTTGCACACCCTGAGACAGCAGCAGAGTCACGGTTTCTGTGGCCGCCTCCTCCTCTCAACTGATGGTGAGGCCCGAAAGCTGAGCCTCATCTCCACTCGGTTTCGATACCGCAGCATCGGTGGCTCTGTTTTGATGCCTCGTAGCAATCCGCTCTAAAAGAAATAAGGCATCTGGCCTTCCTGTACGTACATAAAATAAAAGCCGACAACTTTCCTTCTGCGAGCAATTCCAAGATGTTGCTGGCACTGTGATGGACCAAACACTCGCTGTTCATCACATACTGACTTCCAACTCGGGACCTGTGACTGCCATTGAGGATCCTCTTGTTCTGCGATGCCGCGCGCTCGAGAGGAGGCTTGACCACGTAGTACTGCTCGCAAACAGTAGCCCCATTCCACGCCAAATCTACTCGGTTCGTCATCGACGGTGGTCAAACTGGAAGACATGAAAAAGTTGGAGGTCGTAATGCCCGCTGGGATTACGGACCGGAAACAGAGCTCGGTCATCTGACATTATCTTTGTTCTGCTCTGCCTCCTACCTCAGTGGAAGGTACGCAGCATTTAAGCTCATGCAAACAGGTTACATGCATGGCATCGATGCAGCAACTGAGACTTGTGTCAGCTAAAACCAGCCTACTTAAGCGAAAGATGCGTCGATTTGGATGCTGTGCTTCCCTAACAGGGAGAGGTTGACTTATATATATATATATATATACGCAACAGGTGTCCCTTCTCGTTTATGTAATAGGCTCTTAAAGACCATCACCCGAATCTAGCTCTGTACTTTGACGAATTAGCAAGTATGTTAAAAGTACACCTCTCGTATATCCTCCCTTCGACCGACCTTTGCTATTGTAGTCGTCCTCTGTCTTTATTAGACGACTACTGGCCCTTAAAGAGTCGTTCTAAGTTCCCCAAGCACGACGAAACGTCTCCGTTCGTTGTTGGCGACGCCGTCTGCCGGCTACGGGCCTGCATGTTTAATCAGCCACCACATGTACACCTCGTTGCCGTTAACTGCCGTTAACTTCCCCCTTATAATTCCCTCCTTCCTCTTCTGTCTCTCTTTACTCCCCTACTCTCTCTCTCTCTCTCTCTTTCTCTCTCTCTCTCTCGTCTTCTCTTTTCGCCTCTTCTTTATGAAAGTTGAGTGGGGCAATGGAGAGCTCGGGATGGGCGGGAGTGAGCCCAAGGATCTCCTTCTCCCACGACCTCACCCAGGCCGACATCTCCGGCGGCGACGATCACCGCCTCGACCTTTCCCTTCCACTGGATGTATCCGCGTCCTCCGACTTCGACTTCGTCCTCGGCGCAGACATCTTCTCCCACGACTCCTCCCTCGCCGACGACCTCTTCTCCGACGGCAAACTCCTCGCCTTACCCATCAAGAATCCCCCATCCTCCTCCTCCGCCGCCTCCCCGTCGTCGCTGCCGTCAGCATCAGCAGCCGATCCACCTGCAGCGCCGAAGCCGGCGAGCGCACGCAGGAGGAAGCGCGGCAGCCTTCGGGAGATCATGGCGAGCTGTAGCGAGGGCGGCGTCGGCATCGGAAGGCCCTCCCCCCGCAGGAGCAGCAGCCTCAACTGCGGAGACAGCAGGAGAAGCCTTTGTCCGTTCCCTTTGCTGCGGAGCAAGTCCTCGGGCTCGATGCCGATGAACCCATCGAGCACTAAGCACTGCGACAATTCCAGCATCAACACGATTGCCAGTTTTAGCAGCCCGTTCACGGAGTTGTTCAGGAAAGGCTCAAAGGAACCGAAGACCAGAGTCTACTATTACTCGGGGAGCTCGCGACGGTCACACGGGAATGCGGTGAGAATCAGTCCGATCATAAACGTGCCGACGCCGAGCAGTATGAGCATATTTAGCTTTCTACTTTGCAAGCATGGGGACAAGAACATGGCCAAGAGCTCAGCTGTTACCTGTTACCCGTAGTGGCGTGTGTTGGTTTGAAATTATTAGGAGGGAGGGGGCGGGACAACGGGGGGGTTGTTTGCTTGTGATCATAGGAGCTGCTTTTGAGAAAGAGGGGGAGGGGGGGGGCTTCTTCCTTACCCTTCTTTTCCATGCCCTTCATCTTTATCACTTTGGAGTGCTTGTGGGACAGCAAGGGGTGCTTAGGCCATGGGGGACAGCAAGAACACCACCCCCTCCCCTCTCCATGACTGGTGGGTTGCTTGGAAAGTTTATGGACCATTTCATCTCTCTCTCTCTCTCTCTGTCTCTCTTCCCATTCCATTCCTTGGTCCTATGATTTTTCTTCGGGTTTGATAGTAATTTCGTGGAGGAGTGGTATGCTTTTATATGAACAACTTGAAGCTTGTGAAGCCTTTTGACTTTGGCTGCTACCTGCATCTATATATGTTATTGTATTTAATGCCTTCCGCAATGCTACGTTGTGTCCTATGTAACCACAGTTGGTGGAAAGATAAGAAGTCATATTCTTCTTGTCTTTATGACTTGACTCTGATGGCGCACCCACCGGTGAGGGATGCTTGGGAAAGTAATTATTTCGAAAAGAAGTCTTTGGATGTATCGTATGCAGTATGGTTTTTGGTAGATCTCTCAATCATTATGTCTGATGGCATGCAGTAAAAAGGCCACCGTGATGAACGTGATCTCTACAGAACCATGTTTTGGTGCGTGCAATATGCTGTAGCATTATGTGTGGTTAAAAGCTGAAATAAGAAATCTAAATGAGTTCCTCAACCGACCACAAGTAAACTACTCACCATCATCACCACCAAGTGTTTCCCAAGTAATAGCTTATCTAAAGTCAGAATAGTTTTACTTCCTCATGAAAAAAGGACAGAGACAACGAGCTTTGTTTTTAGTAGTTGTAAGGAATACTGTGATCACATCAGTTGACAAATCAAACTGAACTAATTGCAAACATATTTAGCATCACACTGCAACCTACACCATATGCCCAGTGAAAGACTGTAATTAATCTACTAATTTGTTGTAAAGCACACAGTCTTATCACCTAATATAGCTTCAGACTCCATGCCACAAGAACAAAGGGAACAACGGCTATTGACTAGAAGAGAAGTTTAATTATTACATGGAGTTATACAAAAGGATGGAAATCAATATATTCACTATTGTTCTTATAATAATGGTGCAATGGTTGGAACGAGTGATCGGGCAAAGTTATATGAATGTTTACTCAAAACTACATAGAGCAGCATAGTTACAAAAAGAAAAGAAATTCTGAGCTCGTATGAGTGTTTACTCGAACTACATAAGTAAAATGAGGAGCACTAAAACAATACAATGATGTGCACATGCATGGACTACGAAATATTTCAGCTGTCCACAGGCAAGTTGTTGGACCATGAAATATTTCAATACTCATTCGAGTTTGAGTTACAGCTAAATGCAGATTTATGATGTGTTGTTGTCTTTGGGAGCAAAATGTTTGAAACAAGTGCAAAAGATAAGATGTACCAGCACTCGATAGTTCAATTATGGCATCATTTCTGATTGGATTTTTGCATCTTTGCATGAATATGCACCTAAGAAATTATTGAACTTGTAACACTGCAGCTGGACAGAAGGAGCAGCATCTAAAGGCAAACATCAAGGGACCTGCACGAGGAATGGTTGTTGATCTCAAATCATTTTAGCATTTCCTACCCATCGAGTTGTGTATTTATTCAGAGGACAAGCACCTCTGTCGAACAAATGCTTGAATGAGACCTTTAAGTGCCAATGTATCTTCCCTGTAGTGCTAAACCCAGAATCATACATCGAATTCCCACCCCCATTGATTGGAAGGTCACGGTCATCCACATCCACCAAATGTTGACCGGCCTTCGTTAAAGATTGAACGTGCACAGAACCATAACGTATTCGAACTACTTCTCTAAAAATTCTCAGTTGGCACAGTACAAGAAGCCGACTTCTTCTTGGATATGGAGAGGGGTAGATGACATCAAAAGGCAGAGAAGATAAATGATGTATTCTTGTGGTTACTCTCCATAGATTTCCTTCCGTGAAATGCTTCATCAAATTTAACTTAGACAAAAAAATTACCTCCACTTATTTTATTCAAAATGACACAACTTTCAGAGTAAGAAGATCACAACTTTATCAAATAATAATAATAATAACAAATCTCACTAATTAGCAAAAGCTCTTCTAAGATATAATGGAATTCGATGGTCAAAAACAATATTGACAAACCACGTTAATAAAGAAGCAATCTTAAAGAAGATTAAACCCAAACATATCTTACTTGTATTCAAGCTTCATTTCACAGATTAAAAAATAGGATACCAAACTAACCATGATACAGGAATGCAGGAATAATCAGCATCCAAAATCCATGAACGCTCCCCTTCGTCAGCGTACTCACCGACTTGTGTAGCAACAACTGCAACGACAAGATCGAAAAAGCAATTCATTCAGTTCAAATTTGAAAGGGTAATTCAAAAAATTGGGTAAAGAAAAATATTATTTTGTGTATTACCTCATTCATCGATCCTGTATGTTTCCGGAGTTACCTCCGACAACCACAATCCAGGAAAAAGCAACTGCAGAAAGGATTAACCAAAGGAGAAAATTACAATGAAAGCACAGATTAGTGAAAGATAACAGCAAAGAGTTCGATAATGTAGCCATTTATAGGAAATTAAACCAAAACAATTGAAAAAAAAAATCTCCTCTTTTCGAAATATCTTACATCGAGCTGTCGCTGCACGATTCGAAGTCTCTTCTTTGGCCTCCGGAGAAGCTTTCTCCCCTTAATCGCCCAAATGTCCTGTTCAATCTCGTCCCGAGATAGTGATACCGAGAATTTCTGGCGTTCCCCATTCTCCGATCCGCTGGATTTCCTCTTCATCATCTCCGCCGCGGGGCAGCTCTTCTCTGCCTCGAAAAGCGACGAGGACCCGGAAGCCAAGACAGGGTAGAGGTACTCCCCGTTCTCAGACGGAGCATTACACGCCGCCCTCCGGGTCCTCAGATTCCACGGCTTGGCGATTACCGCAGTCTCCGCCTCCGCAGCAGCAGGCAAAGAAAAGCACCTCTCGGCCTCCGCTTCCTCCCGTCGTTCCACTTCCCCCTCCTTCGAGTCCCTGAACCTCGCGGACTGCTTCTGCAGGAGAAAGGATTTATCCGGAGGGGACAGCGGCCGCCGCCTGCTCGCCCGGCTGTTCTGATCGACAGCGGGAGCCACCGATCCGGCGTTGTCGGGATCGCCGCCGAAGGGGAGGTTGGAGCAACGGAGGGTGCGATGGGAGCCCCAGCTGCTGGTAGGGAAAGTGAAATTGTGCAGTCTCGACCGGGAGAGGTGCGACGGCGGCGGCTGCGGGGGAGGGGACGAGGCAGCGGGGCCGTCTTCGTCTTCTCCGTAGGCGATCACCATGGCTCTCCGAGTCGTGGAGGTGGCCGAAGAGGAGGTTTCCAAGAAAGCGTTCCGTGTAATTTGGGAACCGGGATCATATGATGATGAAGGCGACGACGAAGTTGACTTGATCTGATGCAATCATGTCCACGTGATCAAATCGGTCTTGGCTTTTCCATTTTAAATTATTTGGAATACAAACAACGTTTGAAATAACGGCCTTTTGTACTATTCCTCCCTACGGAAGGACGCTTCCCTCGTTCGACAAACACGACTGTGCCACCTATTACGGCTTACCTGCCGACCTGTGATTGGATTGAGCGATGCCCTTCTACGTGAGGCCCACATGATGTGCCCCTGTCTCTGATCACAAAGCAGGTACGTTTCAGGGTACTAACCGTAGCCGTTATCCATTCCAACCACTTTTGTAATTATTTTGTAACGAATTTTCGAAAAAATAGAAATGTTTAGATAATACCCAAAGTTCAAAAAAGTTTATAGCATATTTTTTTATTAATCATTTTATCCCGTCGAGCATCACCCTTCATCGATCTTTGCCTATGCCTCCATCACACTGATTACCCCTTTGTGTCATACCGATCATTCTCCTTTGTCGAACCCATCTAACGACGAATACACAACCATCTGGACTCACAATGAAGATGTAATATCTGCGATAGGCTATAGACAATGGTAAGTCATCCCACCTCCTTCCTTCCATATCCGATAATGAGAAAAGAGTATGAGGAAACTACATGACTCTTCTACAATCATTGATGAAACTGTGACGATGTATCCGTAAAGAGAATAAATAAAGTTATTGATAACGATAGTTATTTATTATACATGGGCTATAGTCGATACAAACGATACATGTAAGACGAAGGTGATGATGGATACGATAAAAATAGTGAATCGAGAAATTTTTTTAAAAAAATTATTAGGAGTAAAATATTTTTTTTTCTGTGAAAAACATTTTGAACTTAAAGATGTTGTCCACACGTCATATCCTTTATCAAATGTGTTCCATCATAATATCTATTGATAGAGCACAAAGGCCCCTCCCATACAGAGATAAGTGGCGCCCAGCCCAAAGGCAAGAGCGATCATCAAACCCACAAATACATCACTGAAACTAACCCGCAGGATTATATAATCAAATTTAAGGAACGATTATTTTATTTTTATTTTTAGGGAACAATCAGTCCTCAGTGCTTCCAGATGTAACTCTATTAAAAGCTATTTTGCCCATGAGCCCAAGTACTTACAACTATAAAAGTTATAATACATACATACATATATATATATATATATATAAAAGCAAAACTGTCCTTACACATTTGCAAGACACCCGGGTCGCTTACCCTCTTTTGGGTTGGAGGTGGCGTCGAAGATCACACGGGTGCCACTCTTTAACCTGACCAATAGATGAGACGATTAAAAGTGGGGTAAATAACAACGCTGTTGGATATATATACACATATAGGGAGACGACTTTGATGCTTCCTGTTATTGTAGACGGAGGAAAGTCGTCCGAAAGGTCATTGAGATTTGTGCGATCACATGATGGACGTCCCACGTTGTTTCTCGAACTGCCTTGCGTGTGGTGGCTGCACACTCTCTTCCCTCTTATGCGTGACGCGAATAAAAATATATATAAAATCTTATATGCGCAAATAATTATTATATATTTATTGATTTCCTTTTATAGGCCGGCCTTAAGTGGCAGTCGGCAGTCCCGCTCCGGCATCCCTTCCCTTCCTCTCCTCACCTCCTACGCCAAAGCAAACGTTAGAAATACCTCCGGCCGCCAGCCGCTTTATTTCGTAGCACCGCCGCCAGGGTCGCCGCCCCATGGTCATCTCGGCGGAGACGACACCACGGCGACCGGATACCGCAGTGGCCTCGTCGGCGGCGGTGACGGAAGCTACGCCCCCTCGAGGGGAGGCGCAGGGTAGCCTCCTCCACCACTTTTCCTTCCCCATCTTGAACACGTGGGGGAACCACAGCGCGCAACGTTGCATGAGCGTGAACGGCAAGGAGGAGATCGTCGCTGGTGGCGGACGGAGATCGACGGCGTCCCCCGTGGAGACGCCAGAATCGCGGATCCGTGCCTCTGAGACTGGCCCCGGCGACGACCCTAGGATAGAGGAGGTCAGGGAGAAGCTTATGGCTCACCTTCGGGAGGCGGCGGACCGGATGAACCTGGTGGTCCAGCTTCTGCCGAAAGGTGGGGCCGACGAGGCGGAGCCGGCGCCAGAGGCGAGGTTGGATCCCAAGGCCGACGTGTCGGCGGTGCCGGCGGCGCTTCCCTGGAATCTGAGGACGAGGCGAGGAGCCGCGAGGGCTCCGATGGAAATCCAGCGGCACCTAAGCTCGCGCCCGCAAGCGGTGTGGCGCAGGTCGGAGGACGCCGAGCGGCGGGAGCGGCCCAAGTTTTCGATCTCGCTCACCAGAGAAGAGATCGAGGAGGACATATACGCGATGACGGGGTGCAGAGCTCCCCGGCGGCCAAGAAAGCGGGCGAAGGTCATCCAAAACCAGCTCGACGTGAGTGCCTTCGCCCCCACCTTCCCTTCCATCTTCTTCCATCATCATTTTTGTGCCCCCAAAACCCAATTTTTTTGCTGCTTTTCCCATTAAAAGAAGGAAAATTTTCCCCTAAAAAAAGGACTGAAATCTTATGTTGGTTTTCTTCTTCTTCTCTCAGTCGTTGTTCCCCGGGTCGTGGCTGTCGGAGATCACCGCCGACTCCTACAGGGTTCCTGATTAGAGGTACGTGAACCTCCGGTGACTTGATACCTACTTCTCCGCCAAACTCCCTTCACCTCTCTCTCTCTCTCTCTCTCTCTCGGGTTGCTGGCTTCAAAATCCGCGGCCGCCGCCGTTGATTCTAGTTCGATCAAAAGAAAATTCTGCTTTTTCATTAATGTTGCTTCTCTTAGAACGAAAATTACTTCTTCCTTGTAAAATTATCGAGTTAAATTCGATCAACTTCTCTCGGTCAAAATCGAATATATGTCTACTGTTGCTCTCTTGCTCATCTACATGAGGATTGGAAGCGGTGGTGGTCGTCGTCGTCCCCGTGACATTTCCTGGACGTCCATTTCTCGAGTTCCAGCGTTGCGACGTAATGGCACTGGCTCAACGCTGTGCATTACAGTAAGGCTGTGGTCGTGCTTACTGCATTCTGCCAAGAATTAGGAATTAGCCATATGCTCATAAAAATATGAAGGACATGGGTCAACAACAACACACACATCATGCTGTTCGAGGCTGGTGATGGATTAATTATCGCACCATGTGTTGATTAATGTTCATGCGCTCATCACAATTTCGTCGATCCTTTTTGACTCACTGAATCATGATAGCATCACCACATCTGGTGAGGGAAAAAAGAAGCGTGTTTTATCATGAGTTTTTGCGAGTTGACTCGCTGACTCGGTCAAACCCCACGCGACTCGTCTCGTCTCGTCGCAGAAGATACGCAGATCGGATGCAGTGCAATGTTCTCCCCTGAAGTCAACATATGGACTTCACGCATGCACGGAGTCAGTCGGGTGGCTTCTCCGAGTCAGGACCGAGTCCACGGCCATGGCGCTTGGGCCCTTATTAATAGAAGACGTCTTCAACGAGCTCGACCTGGCCGCCACATGGCCCTCGGCATCGTAAACCCGCGCGTCACTGTCATCTCCGCCGTATCCCGCGACGGAGTGAGAGAAGACGGCGGGTCTCGATGCGATCCTGGTCACGGACGAGGAGGGGAAGGGACACCCATCCAACTAGTATAAAGGAGACGGCGGCGCCGAGCGAGAGAAGTAGATCCAGCGTTCGGCGCCAGTCCCGGCGGGGCTCGAGCCAGGGAGGAGACGAGGCGGCGGCGTCGAAGCACACCGGGCGCGGCCCGGACACCGCCCAGAGCCTGCGAGTTGGCGAACTCGCGGCAGCAGCAGTCGCACTCGTACTTCATGCCGTCTCCTCCGCCACCGCCGGGGGAAGTGGTGGCCGTGGAAGAGAAGTAACGGGATCGCAGCCTCGCTTCCTCTCCTTGGGACATGTTGACGCCCGACAGCTTCAGCCTGGGGTTGCTACCGTTGTCAGACAGGCAGTGCTCGGTGCGTGACCATCTTGTGTTCTCTCCTCCTCTACCTGCAAAGCGATGTAAAGTATACGGACTCTTATGTAAAGAAGCAGCAGCTAATGAGGAGGAAAGCAAACGGAAGAACAGGAAACAGACGGATTAGGTTTGGTTTCCATGGCTTCAGCTCATGTCTCCCTGTACCTATATATGTATATGGTTCAGCTTGAGTTGTGCGGAGAAGAGCTCAAAAGAGTATAAGAAAATGGACATCAATCGGATGTGTTGATTTAGTTGTACTGCTGTGTGATTGTGGATACAGTGTGTGATCGAAAGGTGCAATCGTGTGGGGACTAAACATCCACAGCCTTAGAAACTTGAAAGAGAGATCGTAGTAAATACAAAAGCCGATGGCAACAAAGGGAGACTTGCTGTTCGTTCCATGACGTACGTGCTTCCACAGCTGTTGCTGCTTCGTACCGCCATTGTCATTGTTGGCGTATGCTGCAAACATGCATAGCTACCATTCTTGTTGTGTTGTTTCTCTGCAACAGTGCTTCACATTGATTCTGTCATCAGATCTACCAACACAAATTTTCTTGTCGAGTCCATCAATTTTGTCGTCGCCCATTTGGATGTTCGATGACAAAGTCGGTAGTACCGCTTTTGGTCATCCAAGTTGGGCTAATGGGATCAATATCGTGCTATCAGAATTGGATGGAGAGTAGTGCTATCAAAGAAGTGTAATGCTGACAAAGAGAGAATCTAAGAATCCAATGTTTCTGTAAGTCGTCTCCGTCTGAATAGTTGATGGCGTGGATTATTTGTTTCACTGCCAATCCGGTCTTATTCTGTGGCACCTACCAAACTGTTCTTGCCAAAATGTGTTTGACCAATTTAGCTGAAATTTCATGGAAGGTTTCTTGATGACTGTGAGGCCCATGTTTGGTGTAATAAAACTAGAATTTGTTAGATTGCAAAATAATGTAAATATATTAGTTTTGAGAATTTTTTTTGGCCAATTGTAGTTCCCAAAAACCTTCCCTTCCTAATGTAAAGACCTTCCACATAAATTTAGACCAGAATTTGGGTGGTCATTTGCAGCTACACAAGTCTTTTGCTTTCTCTCTTCACCCTTTCGCCACGAAGGGACTCGTGTTTTCGACCTCAGAGGAAATCACTGAGGCACCAAAGTTGCGAATCTGTGTGCCGAAAATTGGCATCGAGGACGACTCCGAGGTCACGATGATCAAAGAGAAGCTTCCATCCTACCTTCGGAAGGCGATGGGCCAGATAAACCAGATCGTCCAACTTCGATCAAAAGGTGAGGTCGACGAGGTGAAGTTAATACGAGAGGTAAGGTCAGCGTTTCCTTGGAATATGAGGACGAAGAGGCAGGCGTGGAAGACGCCATTGAAGATCTTACAGCATCTACGGCTGCACACGCCGGTGAAGAAGGCGGTGCATATAAATATAATAAACTTGATATTATTAACCTTCAAATATAAACACTGATCGATAATATTTTCTGAAATAAAAGTAATGATATCGTAAAAATTTATATATTATTTTAAAAAAAATATTTAAGATTATAAATAGATTTTTTAAATTTACATCCGCTCGAGTCCTACATTTGTCGTGGCATACAATGACACATCTTCTCGATTGTTGAGCAACACCACCAAAAACTGTTGATGCTTGTATTGCATGATATGTCATTAGTGCACATAGCAGTATATGTTGCAAGTAGCAATGCCACCAATAAACCCCTATGCCACAAACAGGGTTTGTTATAGCAACGTCCAAAATGTCATGACTAGCACCGCACTATTTTATTAGGGTTGTTGCCTCCTTTACTGCCACCCTCAAGAGAGCTGGCAAATGCAACGTTATACCATAGTATATGCAGCCATTGCATGTAGCGTTGTTGCTTGCATAGCCCTTGCTTGCGATAGGGTAGAAGACCAATGTAGGTTATAATGTTTGACGGTGTCACCATCGATAGCAAGCTATTATCGATCATGATAGGGCAACAACTTTTTATCCATAGTTTTATTAGCATAGGCAAGTAAATCTTCATCTTTTGAAAGCAAATGACTAGGACGAATAAGATAAACAAAATATATTGGATCATCCTTCGCATGCGAAGGACGATAATACAAAACAAATCTAATACTTTTATGATATATGGTATTTGATTTTAAAATATACTTTAACACCAAGCATAAGTATAAAAACTATAATCATGCTATTATGTAGAATATATTTAATTTTAAAATTTAAAGTCAAATGATAATTTATAATTTATCAAATCTAGGAGGTGTATCCTTCGATGTTTTTTAGAATACTTTCTTACTTTTCAATATCATTCATAGTAGCTTTCTTTTGATTTGTAAGCACACCGTCATTCAATTCTAAGAAGCAACGATACCAATAGGTAAGGAGAACTAGAATTATTTTTTTTCTTTTTACTTATAATTCATAAGGCTAAACGATACAATAACGACTAAGGAGAGATGAAAGTATATCTATAATATTTTATATGTGTATGATTCTTACGAGGTTTTATCTATTTATAAGTAAGAGCGAGGGTGTTGGATAAAAAATAAAAAAAAATTTATTTGATCAATATTAAAAAATATCATAATTAAATTTATTTTTTATTAATCGATACCTTAACTAGAAATCGGGCGAGGCTCGGCATGAGTTTCTTCATCCTCATATTTTCTTCAGGTGATCATTTTCTTTCCTAGAAAGAAGACCGAAAAATTTATGTTGGTTTTCTTCTTCTTATTCTTTTCTCTCTCTCTCTCGGTAGTTTTTCCCCGGGTGAATGCGATCATCCCCATGACAGTACCTCGACCTCTATTTCGCTAACTCCTACAAGATTCGAATTCTAGGAATATGGCTCGTGCTACATGAGGAATGGAAGCAATGGTCGTCCCCATGACACTACATCGACCTCTATTTCGCAAGTTCACGGATTGGAACGATGAGATATTACTGTGCGTCGAGTCGATTGCATTCTGCCATGAATCGGAGATGCAGCCCAACGACACGAAACAAACACACGTCATGTTGTACGTCACCGAGCCCGTGATGGATAACCATGACGTGCGTTGTCATTCCACGTACACGAACCGATCGAGACGGTAGCGCGCCCCAAACCCAACTCCGGCCCACCCGAACCCGAACCCGAACCCGAACCGAAGCTCCTCTCAACCGAAAACCAAAAAGCGTGACTCGATCCTAATCGAACATAGCCCCCGAAGCTGGACGCAACCAACCAATCCGTAAGACAAATACGAAATGTTGTTTATGTCCAAAGCATCCATCCATCCATCGATACAGAACAAAAACATCCCGTACGTCTCCGTAGCACGTAATGCGCCCACGATCACAGAAAACACCCGAATTGCTCAACACCACCCACGAACTTGATTACGACACTGCTCGCGAGCTCGTATGCTTACGATAGTGGGACACCGCTCGCATCAACGGCTACCTGCAGCCGCCTCGCTGTTTCAAATTTCAGAGCTAAAGTACAAATCCACCGACCTCGGCAGCATCGCTTTCCAGCTCTATACCCCACTCGCTCCGCCCGCGCCTCCCTCCATTAAGACCCCGGCCGAGGAAGGAGGATGCGCAGCCATGGTGAGAAAGAGGAGCCCCATCGTCAGGAAGGCGTTGGACCTCATCGCCCTCAGCTTCAGTACCCGCGTCGCCAAGGTCAGGCGGCCCATCGCCCGGAAGCTGCTGCTCCTCAAGCGGACCAAAAGGTTCAACCTCCTCCGGCACTACAACTACGCCTTCGTCGCGGAGTACGAGTTCTCGCCCTCCAACTCCCCGCTCTTCCGCCGCCCTTGTGCCCCGCCGAAGAAGAGGAGCCGCTTTCTGTCGCTGCTTTGCGGCGGCGATGGCGCGGAGTCTGTCGCGGAGGGTGGCGTGTTCCAGGATGAGCTCGAGATGCTGTCGCCCGGCGGAGCTTTTCGGGACGAGCTTCTGTACGATGACGATGGAATCGGAAGAGAACTCTGTCGTGAGTTCTCGGAGTACGGTGATGAAGAGGACGGGACCGTGGATCAGAGAGCAGAGAGGTTTATAGAGAAGTTCTACGAGGAAATGAGGAATCAAAGGCGGGAGTCTGATGCAGCACGCGAACATGCTATTTGAGTTACGCTGCGCATCTCGCTCGTGATGCGTTACTTGGTCATATTTGTGCCCCTTCTCTGCAGGTGACCTTTTAGCATCTCAAACCGTGGAGAGATTCCATTTGTTCTGTGTTTTCGTTTCTGGAGGTAAAAATCTTCTCTTTCTGTATCTTCGTTTCGATGAATGAGTTCCTCTACTTGTAAAACTTTATGTGGAACTCAATTAGACAGCAGCATCGGGGGATATTAAGTACCATTGAGTGTGCTAATGTTGATGTCTACTGCTGTCGGCCTCGTATTCGGCTGCAGAATTTGGCACGATCTTGGTTTCTGAGAAGCCGGCGGTTCAGCCGACCGGCAACCCATTAATAGCACACGTAAACATCGATCTCCCCTGGAAATCCTACAAAACAGAAACTCCATGCACTACGTCAATCTTTAAAGATACATAAATCGAACTCAGAGCTATCAGATTTCACATCACCTCATCAAGCACTATAGTTTGGTGTCGTCGACTTGCTTTCCCACCGTGTTGCAACAGAGTCTGGCGAATGTGGCGGCGACTTCTTCCTCAGCAAGCAATCTTCGTCATTTACCGTAGCATCAGCTTCCACACCCTTCGCGCCGTTGCGTCCCTCATCCTCTATCCCTTTCAGTACCTCGAGAACCTCTTTGATGGGAGGCCTCATCTCCTTCTCCGCTTGCAAGCACCTGAACGCTACTCCAGCCACCCGCTCGATCATCGTCCTTATGTTGCAGTCCGACCGAAACCAGAGCTTTGGATCGACCAGCTGATCCAGTTCTTGCTTTTGGATCTTGTCGATGGCCATGTTGGCCAAATTGATGTCACGGCTCTGCCTACTGACGTCCACAGCAGGCTTGGAAGATATGAGCTCTACCAGCATCACCCCGAAGCTGTACACATCACTTTTGTCGGTGAGCTGGTAGCACTGGTGGTAGTCGGGGTCGACGTAGCCGGGCGTGCCCTGTGGTGCGGTGGATACGTGGGTGGCGTTGACCGGGAAAAGCCTGGATAACCCGAAGTCCCCAACCTTGACATGGAAGCTCCTGTCGAGCAAGATGTTGGTGGTCTTGACGTCTCGGTGGATGATTTGGGGCGTGATGGCGTGGAGGTAGCTGAGTGCGTCGGCTGTCTCGATGGCGATGCTCATCCGGAGGGGCCACGTGAGGGCCCCCTCGCATGCACGGCAGCCATGGAGGTGGTCTGCGACGGTGCCGTTGGGCACGTACTCGTACACGAGGAGGAGCTCGCGACTGCTCCGGGAGGTGCAGCCGTACAGGGTGACGAGGTTCTGGTGGCGGATGGAAGAGAGGATGTAGACCTCGTTGATGAACTGCTCGACGAGCCTGTCGTTGTTCTTGTAGAATCGCTTGATGGCCACCGTTCGACCATCACGGAGCTTTCCTGCAGGATAGAACCATCAATTGAGCAACGAGGCCAACCTCTTCCTTCCTTGGCAGTACCGACGATGACAAACCTTTGTAGACAGTGCCAAATCCGCCATCACCGAGCACATTTGAGGTACTGAAGCCATCCGTGGCACCCTCCAGTTCTTCGTACATGAAGATTTGGGTATGGTATTGTTCGCTGCCGAATTCTAGATCACTCTCAGAAGTTGGATGGGAAGAGACGTTTCGCGATAGCAGAAATGATGTTTGCTGTTTTCTCCTCCAGCTGCAATGGTAATAAAAGAAGCAGCAGAAGCTTGCCATGACCAAGCAGCCTACGCCTACACAAATTCCTGTTCGCAACAACAGTAACAGCTGCTGCTGTTAATTCCTCCTATATATATATGTATATATATAACACAGAAAAGTTGAAATGCTTACCTATTACAAGCTTGTTCATATTTTTGTGTCGTTTTCCTGCATCATAAAAACCATCACAGACTTGTAAACTAATAAATGAAGAATAATAAAAAAAGAACTATTCCTGGCTCCAAAGTTTGCCATGTTTCATACAGATTGATAACAGTCTCCTACGATTAGTAGAGTGTAGCAGAAACGTCACAAAAAGGGCAGAGAAATGTCCTCTGAATCATTCATATATATATTTTCAGGAAAAAAGGGAAGAGATTATAGAATAAAAGTAAATAAATAGAAAGGAAGAGATGAATGTTGTAATCATGAATTCCTTTTCTAAAGCATACATCGAGAGGGACTTGGTTATGAGTGAAAGCCAGTAAATCTAAGAAGGAAGAATTGACAACAATTGAATCGGAAACAAAGAGATCGAAGCGGAACTTACCGCAACTGCTGGGTTCATCCCATCCTCGTGGGCAGTGACAGACGAAGTCCCCTGTTTCGTGATGAGACCCGCACTTCCCGTCGCTCTCTCTGCATTCCTCACAGCCTTCAGGGTTCGACCACCATTCCACCAGAAATCCGTTCTTGAGGAGATCCTCGTAGTTGGTGCGTCCACTCTCTTCCTCTGCACCATACGGGAAAACCGGTGCATTGACCACCTCACACTCGCTCGACCAATTCGGCGGCTTTGGGTAGTCATAGCTTTCACCGAGTTCAGCGAAAGTATCATTAGCGCACCGTATCCTTTCGTGATCCTCGGGTGGGATTTTCGAGCAGTTACGAAACAAGAAGAGCACTTTGTTGGCGGTGCTGATCGTGAAGTGATGGTCGACGTGATCATGGAGTCCTAACTGGGAATCGTCGTGGGGGATCGGGCAGTCGCTGCGTGCGAATTGGGTGTTGGCAACCAACAATGACTTGTTACGGTGGAAGATCTGTTTGATAAAGTACGACCCTCCTCCCAAGGAGTTCGCCAGAATGGGGAGACCACCTGTGCACTCGACTTCAAAAGCGGGATCGCCACAGAATGCACCACCCCCACTGAGCCAGAAGGGGTCGCTAATGTCTACAGCATCTCCGCAGCGGCTGCTGACCTCGCACCCTCCCGTCTCTGACGCGTCCGCTGCGGCTGGTTTTATCCGCCGCGAGAAGCTGATCAAGAGCACGAGGATGGAGAGGAGAAGAGTGAAGCTCGGCAATGATTTGGCACGCATTTTGTAGCGATGACACGGAGAAGGGATGAGGCAGAACGAGAAGAGGAAACAGAGATTTAAAGGAAGATCACGATGGTGATGACTGGGTTCATCCTTGACCACCAAGTCTTCGGAGATGAGTTCGCCAGGGAAAGTTCCAAGTAAAGTAGTAGGTAATGAAGCTCTAAAACTGACATGAATTCAATTGCATTGCCGATTACTACGATCGTAAACATTACTTTATGGATCTTCTATTCCTTGTCGAGCTGCTTTGTGTGGTGGATCCAATTATGATTCTTGTTGGAACACTGCAATGCGATGAGGTGTGAAACCTCAGTCGTCCTTTTTGAGAAAACGGTCCAATGCCAACCGTGTTTTGTGGCATGCGTTGACATGACCGACTGTTTAACGATTGCAGGAACAGCATCGAGGTGATGCGATGGGCGCCAACTCCGCCGCGTATGACTCGACGACCTACCCGCCTCCCTTAACGACAATAACGGCTTATGGGAATCCTAACGACGAAGTCTTTGACACGGTACAAGTCTTGATGGGCGAGGAAGACGTGCGAGACGGAGTCGTTGCAGCGCGTAAACCCCAAACGATGCCGTGTGAATTGAACCCGTGGATTTCAATTAAATTGGTTGGTCGTGTGACATGAATCAGACCTGTCTCGATCCGATTCCATGAAGATTGAGCTCAGGATGTAGAAAGGGGAATTCTAGGTCCAATTATTCGCACATTTATTTAATAATCCGATCCGATTTTGACCATTTTTTTCCTCATTATCAAGGGGTATTTTAAGAATATAAATTAAAATAATAATAATAATAATAATAAATTGGCACTTATTTCCTTGTGCAAATCCGAGATTATTTTCTTTTTCTTGAAAGTAAAATCCAATATAGACTGCATCTATTTTGATTCCGCCACAAGGCCCGAGTCGTCCACCGGCAAGACTTGGGGTCAGCAGTAGCTACGCCATTTTGATCCCTACTTCCGCAGTCGTCTCCTTCTCTCTCCCGCTACTGTTTGCTTCTCTCTTCTCCGTGTCATCGCCACAAAATGCGTGCCAAATCATTGCCGAGCTTCGCTCTTCTCCTCTCCATCCTTGTGCTCTTGATCAGCTTCTCGCGGCGGATAAAACCAGCCGCAGCGGCCGGGTCAGAGACGGGTGGGTGCGAGGTCAGCAGCCGCTGCGGAGATGCTGTAGACATTAGCGACCCCTTCTGGCTCAGTGGGGGTGATGCATTCTGTGGCGATCCCGCTTTTGAAGTCGAGTGCAGAGGTGGTCTCCCCATTCTGGCGAACTCCTTGGGAGGAGGGTCGTACTTTATCAAACAGATCTTCCACCGTAACAAGTCATTGTTGGTTGCCAACACCCAATTCGCCCGCGGCGACTGCCCGATCCCCCACGACGATTCCCAGTTAGGACTCCATGATCACGTCGACCATCACTTCACAATCAGCACCGCCAACAAAGTGCTCTTCTTGTTTCGTAACTGCTCGGAAATCCCACCCGAGGATCACGAAAGGATACGGTGCGCTAATGATACTTTCGCTGAACTCGGTGAAAGCTATGACTACTCAAAGCCGCCGAATTGGTCGAGCGAGTGTGAGGTGGTCAATGCACCGGTTTTCCCGTATGGTGCAGAGGAAGAGAGTGGACGTACCAACTACGAGGATCTCCTCAAGAACGGATTTCTGGTGGAGTGGTGGTCGAACCCTGAAGACTGTGAGGAATGCAGAGAGAGCGGCGGGAAGTGCGGGTCTGATAACGAAACAGGGGACTTCGTCTGTCACTGCCCACGAGGATGGGATGAACCCAGCAGTTGCGGTAAGTTCCGCTTCGATCTCTTTGTTTCCGATTCAATTGTTGTCATCTCTCCCACTTGTCCCTCTCGATTGTTTTGATTAGCTTTAAGAACAAGCATCACTTGATCTTTGAGACAGACTCAAGACGTTCTTTCCTCCTTAATCTCTTCTTTTGTCTTCAAATATATTAATGATTCAGAGGTCTATCAAATATATTAAGGAACTTAAAAGTGTCATTCGATGTCTATCAAGGACCAATTCCTTCGGGTGCAGTATCTAATAGACCAGTTGCTCTTTATTCTCCCCTTAGATAGGGGAAGGGATTTTTGTTTAAGGTGATGGTGACTGACAGAAGGAGTCAGAAATGATCCTTTCAGATTAAATTGGCAAGCAAATTTCTTCTTCTCCGTGGAAAATGATTCGATGTGACTTGGAGATTATTATAGTCAGTCAACAAAGACTTTGGCTCAAGACAACCATCTCATAAGCCTTTGTATGGTATTGCTTTGCAAGTAGTGTATTATTATTTTACAAAGAAAATAATTTTCCCAGATAACAAAACATTGCAGTTTCTTTTTCTTTGTCCACATGACATTCATTCTCCTTGTTTACCAAGTCTTCTTGGGGAGTACAAAGTTAGGGGTGCAAGTAGAGTTGGTCCTTCCGAATGACCTCATTTTACTTGAAAGCAGGCCTCATCATGACCTGCATCTCGTAGTTAGTATGGTTATCTTTCTTCAACTACAAGTTTTAGTAGATGCTCAATCACCAGGAGAAACACATAAAGTCACAATCTCACATGGTAGTTTCCTCAATTACCCCATTCTTTTTTTTCACCTCGGGAATCTCATCCTTATTTAAGTTCATGAATCCTTTTAACCATATTTTCTTCATGTGAATAACTGTATGGATTTACACACGATGTCTGATAAACCTGTCAAACTGTTTATGTTATTGCGCTAATACCTGTCCTGTGGTGGTTATTTTTGCTGCAGGAAAATTCCATAATTTCCATAAGAAGTGGATTGCGATAGGTAAGAATCATATTTCGGAAAAGTCTCATGTATTATTAGATCTTCTGCCGAGCGATTCGCTTATTAAAGTGAAGTTCCTTTCCAAACTCCAGTTTGTGAATTATCATCCATCTCTCTTTGTTTGGTCTATTCCTCGGATTCCTCTAGCCTTACTAGATTTTGTTGGTGATTTAGATTTGTTTTCTTTGGGGCTAATGACAATTTGACCTTTCCTCTGTGGCATGTCAGGTCCAGTGGTAGGATTGGTGAGCTTCCTGTTGGTGTGTGCTGCATTGTTCTTCTATGCGCAAAAAAGATTTGATATCTCTGACATATTTCTGAATAAATCAGATAACACACGAAACATAGAAGCCTTTTTAGATAATTATGGATCCTTGGCCCCCAAAAGATACAAGTATTCTGATCTTAAAAGCATGACAAAATCTTTTCATGAGAAACTAGGGGCAGGTGGATACGGAAGTGTGTTTAAAGGTACACTTGAAGATGGCCGTTTGGTGGCTGTGAAGATGTTGATGAGCGAGTCCAAAGAGAATGGTGCAGAATTCATGAATGAAGTCGCAAGCATCGGTAGGACGTCGCATGTTAACATTGTTAGTCTGCTTGGCTTTTGTTTAGATGGTCACAGAAGAGCTCTGATTTATGAATTCATGGCCAATGGATCTCTGGAGAAGTACATCTTTTCGGATAAGCCAAAGGCAACTCTTCCTTGGGGCAAATTATTTCAAGTAGCAGTTGGCGTCGCGCGGGGGCTCGAGTACTTGCATCGTGGATGCAACTCTCGCATAGTACATTTTGACATCAAGCCTCACAACATTCTACTGGATGAGGATTTTTCCCCCAAGATATCTGACTTTGGCTTAGCTAGATTGTGCTCTCAGAAGGAATCCATACTCTCGGTGGCAGATGCAAGAGGAACAGCAGGGTACATTGCACCCGAAGTGTTCTGTAGGAGTGTAGGAGTGGCTTCAACCAAATCCGATGTCTACAGTTACGGAATGATGATCCTGGAAATGGTTGGAGGAAGAAAGAATGTAAAAGCACACGCAGATAGGACCAGTGAGGTGTACTTTCCTCACTGGGTTTACGACCATGTCGATCGAGGTGGAGATCTTCGAGCTTATGACGTGACAGCTGAAACAGGGGAAATCGCAAGGAAGATGATATTAGTCGGATTGTGGTGCATACAGATGGTGCCAGCGAATCGTCCTTCGATGAGCAAGGTTGTAGAAATGTTGGAAGGAAGAATCAGCGACATAGAAAAGCCACCAAAACCATATCTTTCTTCTCCTCCTGGATCGGTCGTCAACACTTCATCCTAGTCTAAACCAGAAGAGGAAATTGGTTTCCTTTGTCTTGTGATGTTCTTGTGTACATCCGCAACGACCGAAGCATATAGATCTTTGGTGATGCAGCAGATGAGATCAAACATGAAGATTGAAGGTGGATGTGCCATGACTGGTGAAGTTTCTATGAACATCGTCTCCTCTGCAATAGATAATACATGTATGGAAAACCTCAGAGCATTCCTCTGATATTATTATATTTGGATGTTTGTTGCTGATAGAATTTAATGTATAATTCATCTTCTGAAAGCTTAATTTTTTTAGATTTGTTGGACTCAATCGAGATATTTTATCGTGATAATTTTGAATCTATCCCTCCCTTTCTATTTTATCTCCTAGAGGTTTAAACTTGTGAGGTTTCTGATGAATCTGATCAGCATTTTAGTTGAAGCATCTTTTATGCATCAATCTTTAATTTGAAGTAATTGGACTCGAACAGAACGAGTTAGATGCAGATCGACTCTATTTGCTGTTACAATACTAATCCCGTGATATGAATCTTACAAGTTAAGAAGATCATTACAAGTCAAAGTATGGTTTATGGCAGAAGTTATAGAAGAATAATATGAAATGAAGAAATTGGTCGATCTTGACGGGTGAAGGAAACAACAAATGTGCCACCACATCAGTCTTCGTCCAACCTTTCAATGATCACAACTTCATAATTTCCTCACAGAGAGAGAGAGAGAGAGAGTTCAGCCTGGTGACCCAAACACACTCGAGGACTCCTCTCTGAAAGAGGTTGGTTTCTCAAGGATGATGAGTGAGAGTGAAGCTTTTAAAAGCAAGCTTGCAAAGTAGGCCAGCAATGTTAAAAAGAGGGGGACTGATTAAGATGGAAGGCAAGTCAATATTCTCCTCGACTTATATAAAAGATTAATGTTTCCCCCCATCGTGAAGAGGTCAAATGCCCAAAGATTATATTTAGATTGGCTTGCACAGTTGTCCACTTCCACAAGGAAGTGAGAGAAGCCACCTTCCCCACCTTGACTTCCAGCTTATATTACTGAGAGAGCAACTGAAGCGTGGTGGACGGTCTCAGTCACCATTAATTTGGAACAACTCTTCTGGTCTCTCACTCCATTATATACTATATTAAATGCATTTTATTTCACCGAATAACTAACTTCCCCTGAAATTAAACTCATCGAAAAACCATGCTGTTATTACTACTATCCGTAACAAAAACATTGGCTTTGATGGAAACTTAATGCAGTAGCAATCATTAAAACAGGAAAAAGAGAGCTCGAATTTGGGACCTTATCGCGGTCATTAAGGCTTTGGATTCCAGCCCAGCCGTCGGATCGGACGGCTGTTGCATTTGGGAATTGGACTTACGGGGGCCAATAAAAAGAAATTAAATGTCGAAAAAAGAAAAGAAAGACCTTTTCCGTGTTCCGATTTTGGACGCGACCCCACCGCTGGCATCGCCCCGTTGACGTGCGCCACGTCTACTTGTCGGACGTAACTTCAGTCCCACAACTTCTCTCCCCCATTTCTTCCCCCTTCCTATCCCAAACCCCAAACCCCAATCTCCGTGACTCGATCCGGGCTGGGCGATCCCTTCCTCACCTCGCGCACTGCGATGACGGAACCGGCGGCGACGGCCATCTCCGAAGGAGGCGTCGCCCCAGGCTATGCGGCCTCCGTCGACTCCTCCCCTCGCTCTCGAGGCGGCGACTCCTGGGACGAACCGTTCTCTTCGTCTGCCGCCGCGGCGGTGTCGTCGCGCCTCCGGCTGATGTGCAGCTACGGAGGCCGCATCGTCCCCCGCCCCACCGACAGGGCCCTATGTTATCTCGGCGGCGAGACCCGCATGGTCGTCGTCGACCGCAACTCCTCCCTCGCTGACCTCACCGCCAAGCTCTCCCGGGACCTCCTCGGCGGTCTCCCCTTCTCCCTCAAGTACCAGCTCCCCAACGAGGACCTCGACTCCCTCATCTCCGTCGCCACCGACGAGGACCTCGAGAACATGATCGAGGAGTTCGATCGCATCTCTGCCGCCGCGGGCGGCGGCGCCGGCGGCTCGACCCGTTCCCCCCGACTCCGGCTGTTCCTGTTCCCGTCGATGCCGGAGTCGGAGCATTCGTCCACGATCGGGTCGTTGTTGGACGAGTCAAAGTCGGAGACGTGGTTCGTCGACGCCCTCAATAGCGCGATTGGCTGCATGGGCATGGATGGCCTCCCCCGTGACTTCTCCGCGGACTCCGCCTCCATCAACGGCATCCTCGGCCTCGAGGACAACTCCTCCGTTCACTCTCGCAGCGGCGGCGGCGGCGGCGCCCACCGGGAGCCAGAGCAACTCGGTCTCCACCGCCCGGACTCGTCGTGCAAGCTCGGCCGCCATGGCCATGAGGCTCACTCTGTCCCCGATTCGCTAATGCTCGATAAGTCTTCCTCCTTCGGGTCCACCTCTTCGGCTCCATCCCTCTCTAATCTCCCACCTATCCCTGTCCCCACAGATGACCGCCCTGCGGATCACCGCATCGCCGGCCTTGACGACCACTTGGCCCACATGCGCCTCTCACCCGACTCGGCCACCAGCCAGAGACCTAACGAGGGTTTCAAAGAACCAATCTATGCACCCCAGCGGCCACCTCCGCCTAACCCTCTCCCGACTGACTCTGCTTCCTCTCCTACCATCTCCGCCACTGAAAACTTCAATAGGGTCTTCTCCGATGACGAGAGGTCCGAGCACGCTGGGCTCCGTAAGCTACCGCAACCTCCAAAACCCACCCACATCGGTGCTACCGCCTTGGATCCAGCGTCAAGGTATCGTCTTTCTTGATCTTTGGCGCTTTTATGTCAAAAAAGTTGTGGCTTTTTACTGAAAATTTGATGAATTTTACTCTGAATTCTTCATCCAGGCCTACGTACTTGAATCCGAATTCTGATCCGAAGGTCTCTTCTGATCTTAGCTATCGTGATCCATTGCCTACTGATGCTCCCGGTCATGTATTGCCTGTTATGCAGACGGAGCAACTCCAGCAGCAACAATTCCATCCCCACCTATATCAACAGCAACCACAGTTCATTCCCAGGAATCCCCACTACATCCACCACCCAGCGGCCACCATGCCTTCCTACTACCCTACTGCAGCCCATCCGACGCAGCAATCGCCGCAAGCGCATCCATTCGACCCCCAGCTTCAATTGTACTACATGCCTGTTGGTCACCCCGTGCCATATCCTTTGGCTGCAGTTCAGCCCAATTTGGCGGATCCCAATTCCGTACCATCATCTGGAATGCTGGCTGTGCCAGTTCCGACGAAGCCTGACTTGCCACCGAGTTTGTACAGGGCAGCTGCCCCGGGACCTGCACCTGCTGCATTGCAGCCACAACTGATCTCTGTACCTTCCAACCAAGCTCATGCCTATGCCGGAACAGGGTATCATGTAATGCAGCAACCCCACCTTTCTCAGTCCCCTGCAGCAATGGCTAATTATGGTTATGAAGTCGCTGCTGCTTCTGGGCATCCCCAGATGTACTACTCTCAGGCCTCTTCACATCCGGCACACACCCTGCAGTATCAGACAATGAGCTCCACAACTGTAATTCCTGATGTGGCTGCTTCCGAAGATTCGAACGCATCCCGAGCATCATGAACACTGGTCGGTCCCCTCGTAATAGAAAGAAAAAGGCTTTGGGTGGAGGTGAAGGGATCTGCAGTAAGCTCTTAATTGTCTTTGGCAATCTTATTACTTATGAACCATGCTAATTGTGTGTTCTCATTTAATATGTTGTTTAGTGCTTGGCTTGTGTGTCTTTGCGTTGTATGTCTGTTCATGTGATAGGAATAAAGGTACTGGATGTATGCTCGTGTTTATCCTGTCAATAGTTTCAGGGATCTTCCTTGAGTCATGGTGTCATAGTATCTTCTCTTTGAATACAAGACTGCTCTGCTATTATTATTGTTATATTAGAATAAAGTTACAGCACTGCTTGATTGAACTTCTTGTATATAAGAAAATTTACTTTTTTTTAGAAGAAAATATTATTTGTTTGTCTTTATTCTCTTTTGAATGAGAGGTTCTCGCACTAATTATGCTCCTATCTACTTGACAAGTAATAATTATGTGATTATTAGAATAGCTATTCCCTCGAATGAGATGATGCCGTTCTTTGTTGCTTCATGCTCTGATGTTTTGTTCACAATCTATGGTCTTTCAATCCTTGCAATTTGTAGATGTGGGTTGGTCCAAGTTATACAAAAACACTAGTTGCTTAACTACTCTGATTTGCTTTCTTCAAATAAGAAGGTCCTATGTTCGAGCTGCCCTTTAATTGTTATTGACATTATGTGATTTGACTATGCCATTGCTGGCAGCAAGATTCTAAGATAGTAAGCATTCTTTTTATTATCTGTATAACCTTATAAATAAGGAGCTGATCACAGCTTAATTAATATTAATGGTTTAAATTTTTCTTCTTTCTTTGTTGGAGGGTGAATTCAGATTTAGAAGAATCACTTGTGTTCTATATAACAGCAAACCTAGTTTAAGAAGAAACAGTAGAAGTCTAATTGGGTCTATCCATCCTACTGTTTTGTATGAAAAATCTACTATATCAAACTTTTGTTGTCTAGAGAACCTGGTTTGATGCAGCTATCCCTTGTGGTGAGGTATCAAATTGTTCAAACTCCTGTAGGAGAAGGTCAAGTTGTAAGGCATGGTTGTATACCATGCATTCAGATTCTGCCTTGCACTTGGGGATGCCATGGAGAAACGCCGAGTACTTAATGGACTTGGCTTACATCTGCTCTGCCCTTATTCTGGTAGATGTTTTCTGTTGTTGTTCATGTGCTGAATACTTATTGGACTTGGCTTACAGCAGTTCTGCCCTTATTCTGGTAGATGTTTTTTGTTGCTGTTCTTTTAGCAGCTATGGAGGGATAACATGGAATGCTCCATTAACTATAACCTAAGTAGGCACTATTCATATATAATGCAAAGCTCCATCTTCTGCTCTATTCATATTCAAACTCGATGTTCATGCCTTCACATTGTATTTATAAATGACCTCTCTCTCTCTCTCTCTCTCTTTATATATATATATATATATATATATATATATATATATATATAATTCATGGACTCCAATCGAAACTACTTTTGATCTTAAAGTCCTTTCATCGGCATCACTAGTTAATTCAATAAATAAAACCATCCAATTGGGCTCTGATTGAGCCCATTGGGCTCCGAGTGCACGACGAAGGCGACGAACCCAATTGGGGAACCTCGACGGAGGGCTTCTTATGAGCGCGCTCTTCTTTCCGCCTCGTCAAATCAATTTCTCCCCGTTCCGTTTGCTCTCTATCTCTCTCCTTTTGTGGCTGTCGCTTGTCTTGGTCTCGGAACGCTGAGCCGACTCAGAAACATCCCTTTCCTTTCCCTTTGCTTTCCGCTCCACTTTACTAATTGGCAGCATCCAAGAGCCTCGTACGCTCGTTGCGGTGTGCGATCTCGTTCGAGCACAAGGTTCTTGGTAAGCTTTCCGTTGTCTGGTTTCCCTTCTTTAAATCCTGTTCTTTTCAACGATTGATTTCTTGAGTGGGGATTGTAGTGGTGAAGATGAAACAAGTCTTTGTTCCTCTTCCGTTTCAATTTAACTATGGATCGGAGAAGTAGGGAGGGAAACGAGTGGCATCTGTTGATAGGTTTTGGTTGGGTGAGCTTGCAGCAGGAATTGCAAGAAATGCTGGATTCTTGGTTGTCGAATCATCGTTTGTCAGTTTATTGTCGTCGCACAAGTTTCTTGCAGTTGATAGAAAGTAGAAACCCTAACTTGGATGTCTGAGACGTTCGTTCCTTCTTGGGGTTTAAGTGTTTATGTGAAATATCCCCTCTTGACTCATTGCTGAATACCTTTCATCCTAAGGTGATACCCTCAACCATAAGCAACCATTGGTTTGGTGCAATCTGATCAGCAGAATGAGCGATTGACTAAACTTGCTAGTATTAGTAGGGGAAGTGACAACGACAAGAAAAATGCGTCTAGGTCAGCTTTTCAATCTGAAACAACAATCTTAAGCTTCGTCCACAAGATTGCCTTGGCGGAAGCCTCAAATATATGTAATTGATCCTGCGAATTATTGAAATTGTTAGTATATGTTTTGGCCAAGCTCATCATTATGGTCATTGTATAAACCTGCTAGGTGAAGGCGAGTTCAAATTCTACTGAAGCATTGGATGCCTAGGGTGAAGTAGATAAAGATCAAATTCTAGTGGCATCTGTGTCATGAATATCTTAAGTTGCCTGGGATCTTTTGAGGTAGTAGAGGTTACATTATGCTACAAAAATTATCGCAAAACACGACAGTGACCAACTGTTGTTGGAAAATACTCTGAAAAATAGAGGAAAAGTGTAAATAACGAAGGAGCCACTTGCTAGATGGGTTTTAGTTTATTTGAAAGAACAATCCTAGGTGCTTATACTGAGGCATATAGATACAAAATTTAATTGTAGAGCTTGGTGTCAAAGTCTGAGACATGGAGACATCCTCTGGATGCTGTAAAGCCTAGCTATGGACTGTAGATCAGAATGCTATATTTTCTATTCATGAAAAGTTTGCGGTGTAGATTATGGATAAAACGAGGAAGGCATTGAAGGTGTTGCAGATGTGTCAAAAATGCTATATTTTATGTTCATCGACAGTTAGGAACATATAGATGCATCAATTAAGCAAGGTGAGTCAGTTCAGATTAGTGGTGAAAGGAAATATCTTAAAGATCCTACAAACACAATAAATTGTGGTTGAATAGTGATAGGTGGTGTGGGATTCCACTTGACATTTCATGCTTGGGAGTACTTCTAGGGTAAGTCCTCACAAATCTTCTAGTATCAATTTGCTAGAATTGCTGCACGGAACATTTCAAGGAGCATTGCCAGAAGCAACCAATCCTGAACCTGCAACAGGTCCACACAATACAAGTGCTGCAATCTAGTGTGGCACTTGTGGTTCACAGTGCATGAAAAAGGCAATTCTTCAAGATGTAATCATCTGATGGAAGTCATTGGCATACTGATCTTGTTGGAGTGTTTATCCTTCCTGTGTCAAACCAATTTAAAGGTTTCAGCTGCTGTCTTAGGATAACCCTTCTTATGAGAACTTAATTCTTCACTTTTTTTTCTGAAACTTGGATGGTTGGCTTCATGCCATAGACAGTGGCTCTTATTTAAGCTGGCTCTCTCTGTTAAGTTATAAATAACTCGATCGATGCAGGGATCTAGACTCAGAATGATACTTTCTTTCTACTGTTTAGAATAGTAAAGGCTACACTTTGGATGCTCTCTACGTGGCTGTGATCTCTCTGCGTTATGTTTCTTATTTGTGCTCTTTTGTACCCTTTGGTGTCTTACATACAAAGAATGGACCAAATAAATATTTGGATCATGTCTTTGGCGGATGGTTCACCGTCACGTGTGGTTCACGCGGATGTTGGCCAATGGTGTCGTGCGTGGGTCTCAACCACGCGGGTCCTTCTCCTTCGTGCGTGGGAAAACGGCGTTCCCTATCTTAGGACACCTGGTCGAGGCAAACGGGTGCGGCGTCCGCGCTGATAGCAACCACGCCAATTGCGCGTACGGCTTCTGCAGGAAGTCTGGTTTTTGTTTTTGTTTTTGTTTTTTTTTTTGCATCGAACGGTTCGGGCGGTGCCAAGTCACTAAGCAATCTGTGCTCGCAAAAGAAGTGCGTGGTTCTGTATGACCACCGCATCCGTGTGACAGAGGAGGCTCTTCGTGTTCCATGGATTGATGTAGCAAATGTATGTTGATCTTAGGGGCCCACACCCTGCACCCTGCATCTTTTTTTACAGAAGCTCATTTAAACCGGGACCCTCTCTTTGGAATGTGGATGAGACGGGACTCCACCCGTCTTCCATCTCTCTCTCTATCTGTCTGGTTCTTGATTCGCTTATCCTCCAAAGTCCAGCTGTTCCAGCCAATCACGGCCCCCAGCGCAGGAAAGAGGCCCTTCCAATCTGAACATCACCCACTCCCTACAACTTCCTAGTGCCAAGTGGAGGCCTCGACGCGCCTCTCTCCTCTCTACCATTTCTCTCCTTTCTTGGAGGCCGCTCTGAGGTGAAAGGTCATTTCATTTCTCGTGGGGTCGTCGTTAGGTCAAGTTCATCTCTTTCATCCGCTTCGTTCATCTTTTCCCTCCCCTCCTGTGATTTTCTTGTTTTGTTTTTCTCTTTCTCGAATCATTGTGCCCACCGGTGGCCAACGATTTCTGTGTTCTCGAGACTGAATCCGTGCTCCGCGACTGAAGTTGCCTCCAGTGTTACTGATGTCATGGGGGACCCAATGGGAAGATGATCACGGGACTGCGGAGTCTTGTAGAGGTTTGGCGGAGATGACATCAATGGCTGAGTTGATATGCGGAACCCTGATGTCCTCTCGATGTAAATGATCCATCCAGTCTAGGACCGGAGAATTCTTTTTAGTTATTTACTTTTTCTAATTACTCGCCTTGATGTTATGGTGATCTCGTCTCCTTAAAAGCATTGTTGGATGCATCGATGGTAGCAATGTATCTTACATTGATGAAGACAGGGAAAGGTATCTGGCATCCCATGTCCCACGTTGAACCTATAGAGCAGGCCACTAGGTGCAAGAAAGAAAGGCATCCTTTTGTACCAAACTTGGCATGATTGTTTCGTCCTTGGTTTGCTCTCGTGCAGCAAAATAATGCATATGACTGATGCATCTTCATTCGCATCAATTTGCATGATCTTGGAACCATGTATTACTCTATGACCATCTATTGTCCTTCCATCGGCAACCACTTTATATTGCTCTTGTTGCAATTTACTAGAGCTTGTAGGCCATGCGGACATTTTTTGCTGAAGAAATTGTTCATGTCAATTCCAGGGCAAGACAATGGCGGATATACAGTTGGGTGCTCACACGGTGCAATCTCATGGGGTGAAGGTTGCAAGATTCCACATGCATGACTGGATAATACTACTACTTCTTGTTGTAATAGAAGTCATATTGAATGTTATAGAACCATTTCATCGTTTTGTGGGGAGAGACATGATGACTGATCTGAAATACCCACTGAAAAGTAACACGGTGCCATTTTGGGCTGTTCCAGTATGCTCTTCTTTGGAATTTTGATATTTTACATAACTTTCTTATGGATGACGTACCCATCACAATTTGCATTATTACAGGTGATTGGGATTATCTTGCCTTTTGTAATCTTTCTTGCAATTTACTTCAGAAGAAGGGATGTATACGATTTGCATCATGCGATCCTGGGTTTGTCTACTATCTTTGTATCGTTTCAGGTGTAGAGCAAGTTTTCTTCTCAGTACAAGGTGGATTAAACAGTCTATTGGCAACATGTATGTGCAGGTCTCCTGTACTCTGTGCTCATTACTGGGGTGATAACAGATGCCATTAAGGATGCAGTAGGCCGACCTCGACCTGACTTCTTTTGGCGCTGTTTTCCTGATGGAAAAGAGGTGGGTTATAATTTATTTCCTTAGAGTCCTTGACCTAGAATCCCATATCTGTATTCACCACTGTGTATTGCATAAAACTCATCAGTATTTGCTGATACACATGCCTGTAGGTTTATGACAATGTCACAACAAATGTTATATGCAATGGAGAAAACAATGTTATAAAGGAAGGACACAAAAGCTTTCCTAGTGGCCACTCCTCATGTAAGTGATGCATCAGTAAAACTCATTATAGTTTCTTGATCGTATCTTCAGCTTTTGAAACTTTTGAAAAGGATAATGCTACTAGACACACACACAGATTTCTTCCAGTTTTTTAATCCTTCTGATGTAAATATCTCAAGTTCAAGAAAACATCAAAATATTTGTCATGCATGAGATACTTTTTCTGCAACTGTTCAATTATCTGTAGCTTCAATCGCTTATAATGTCACTGTTTTATTTCCTGTAATATAATATAGGCAACACAGGTGTGAGACCCCTAATTAGTTCACATGGAATATAGCATGCCATGTGAATAGTATTTAACAAATAGGCAACACAGGTGTCAGTACCCATATCCTGAGAGCGTCTTTGCAGTATTAGTTTAGGATCTGGTTGCAACAAATTGGGTCTATGAGCAAGTGTAGGACTGCACCTATGTTTGTATTGGTGGACCCAGTGAGATAGGGCTAACTGTCGATGCATCATAATTTGAAGTCAATTATCGCTCCATATGCCCTTTTCGTGGGCATGGTCACATGTTTTTACACTTGGGTTATGATTATTAGTCGCATGAGACATTCAAATCCTCGCTTCTTGTGACTGCCACATGGTGACAGGTTTTAGGTCCTCTCGTTTGCCTTATAGCTCAACAAGGTGTTTGTTTTTGGTAACTGTATACAAGCTTATCGGGAACAATATGGAATGATTTGATATTGCCATCACCAATGGTATCTTTATGGAATATCTGAAGATATTTATTTAATGGTAATTTATTACTAGAAAAATCTTTCTCTTTTAATAGCATTTTGTAACTTAAGCTTGACGATGCATTAGATTAACCAAATACTGAGGTTTAGTTTGTCATATTCTTTCACAAATTAAAGCCTGCCCAGTTAATGTACTGAAACATCGTTTATTATCGAATTAGAATTTGATCTACATATATGCTTTTTTATTTTCTATTAAGCTGATCTGTTCATAATCTCAAAGATAATATTATGAACTAACCAAATGCATGCATGTTGTATGCTTAGTATACAATACAATTCGAACCACAAAAGAACTGGAGCTTAACAACCCGTAGTCAGCCGCTTTGTGGCTAGAATTTGTTTACTCATTATGTTACTTAATTCTTCTAGTGCTTGTAGAATCAAATTTTCTGCAGCTACATTTTGTAGATGCCAGTAAACCTGTTGCTTATTGGAGAATGCGCAAAAAAATATATCACAGAAATTCATGCAAACTTGTTACTCTACTCATCAAGCCCATGTGCACTCAGGGTCTTTTGCAGGACTAGGATTTCTTTCATGGTACCTTGCAGGGAAAATCCAAGCTTTTGATAGAAGGGGCCACATTGCAAAACTCTGCATTGTATTATTTCCCCTACTTTGTGCATCTCTTGTGGCGATTTCTCGAGTGGATGACTATTGGCATCATTGGCAAGATGTGTTTGCTGGTGGTTCTTTAGGTTTGTATTGTTAGGCTATATCATAATGGATTTAATGTAAGTGTTTGTTTTGTTGATGCCAATTATATAACTCTTCCTTTGTTTTCCATTTCTTTTTTGCAGGACTGATAGTTGCTTCGTTTTGTTATCTGCAGTTCTTCCCACCACCACATGATGCAAATGGTGCTCACGAAGCCCCTCACTTTCATTTTCTTTGTTGTATTTTGGTATGATTTATGGTACTCGAGCAATTTGAGATTGAAGAGATCTTTAGTGTTGCCCGGGAAAATGATTTTAACCCGCTGAACGTCATAATTATCTTGATTTTTACTGTCAAATGTTGTCTCACCCTCTTAGAAGAAAAGTTAGGTATCAACCCCTAGGAAAAACAACTACAGTTTCCAACCGGCCACATCCTTTATCCTTGTCCGGGACATCAGGACTGCTTATGGAAACTCTATTATAGGATACATTCATTATATGATACCTGTGGAACATACATTATCAATGGTGTAAACACCATTATTTCACTGTACAATGATTTGATACTCTGGTGCATGAGCTCACGGTAATTTCTTATGATACATCTTGAAAGTTAATATATGGTGTGTGTTCCGTTCGATCTAATGCCAATGTAGTTAATACATTTTGTTTCATGTTTTCTTTTTGTGAAAGGGATTCAGGATAGCCCTGACATACATGTTGGTCATTGGAAGCTTTTAACGTTTGATTCTTTTTGTGCAGGTTGGGGCCCGCATGCATATTTCCAAACGTTGGCAGATACACAGAGTAATACTCGGATGACTCATGCTGCAAATCCTCTCAGTATTAGGTCATTGGAGGCCGAAGCTGGTTACATCTATACCCGACAACAAGTTTAGATCAACATATAGGTTCAACCCTGTCGTGGGACACGAGTCTGATCCCAGATGCTAAGATCTCACTTCAGATTGTCACAATGAGCCACTTACGAACAGCTTGTAGATGTACAGGATCTAGAGATAAGTCTTCTGTCATTGTTCTACATGCACATGGTAGAGACTTGGATCGTGTAGTTCGTGCAGATATGTTTGGTATCTTGAAAACACAAGGTGTGTGTGTGGTGGAAATCGTGAAATCATCATCCTCTTCAAAATAGATATAGCCAGCCAGTATTAGTCCTCCAACCTTCACTAGTAATTCTTTATAAAGTACACAATGTGGCACTCATCAGTTAATATTATTGTCATTATAATATTAGGAGGTGTATCTTCACAGTGAGTTGTCATTCATGTTTTTTTTTTGTTTTTGTTCTTTGATAATACTTGGGGATGGCGGCTATCAGTGGTAGTCATGCGCATCTCGAGTGTGGCCACCATAGGTGACCGTATGATTGCGACGTTTTTGTGGAGATTTAAACTTTCTTTTGTTGTGCTTTACTCTCTGAGGAGATATGGTAAGCGTACCCAAATGTCAGTGTACTTGCTTTCCATGTCCGGTTTCGGTTGACGCTCGAGCCCTCTGTTCCCACAGAAATCTTCGTTTCCATATCCTGCTACTGCGAATGTCTTCGAGGGGTGACTGAGACGGACGGAAGAAACCGCCCATGGAGATGCGCCCCGCCGCCTGCCTTCGCGTCTTGCGTTTGGGCTTTGTAATTTAACGAGTGATACAAAGAGCCGCCGAGATCGGTCGATCCGAGCCAGGCTTGTTTAACCCACAGACAGTGGGTACCATACCATCCGTGACCTTACCACACACCAGTCCGGCTTCAAAACGCCCGAAAACATGATTTTTTGCCGTCCAAATCGTTCGACTTCCAAGTCTTATTCCCACCTGCAGTGACCGCACCTCGTCAGCGATTAGTTATTCCCGCGACGTTCGACCGTCTCTTCCGGCCTCCACGGCGCAACGGCGCCCACGCCACGGACTCCTGCTTCCCACCCGTGGCCGTCGTCTGTAACGCCGCTCGAGCTTGCCGCTGATGATAGAGTGAGAAGAAGATAGTGAAGTACCAGAAGGCGGAAGAAGGGCGAAAAAGAGGGAGATAGACGATGACCGGAGATGAACATCGATCTTCCGCCTCCTCCTCCAGCTCTTGTGGCCACCTTCCTCCTCTACTGGTTCAGTCCAGCCTAACGCCACCGTCAGCCGACGCCCTCCTTCCCGGTGGCCGCTCCGCCGCAAACCGAGTTTGGGGGGTGCGGAAAAAAGTTGGGCCGCCTTCCTCCTCTTCTGGCTCAGACCAGCCCAACAGACCCATGAAGCACGGCCACCACGGCCCAACAGTGCCCGAGAAAAGACAGAGCAGGAGGCGGAGGAGTAGAGAAAGGCGGAAGAAGGGAGGAAGGAGGAAGATTGAAGAGAAGGATGAATGGAGATGGACACGATGAGGAATAGAGAAGGAATAAGGAGATGACCGAGAAGGAACAAATTCATAATAGAACCGATGTCGAAGCCAAATCTTCCTCTTCCTCCTCCTCCTCCAGCTCTTGTGGCCGCCGCCGCCCTTCCTCCCTCCCTCCCTCCCTCCCGGTGGCCTCTACTCCGTCGAACCGGGTCGGATTGGGTCGAAATGAATTCAACAGGGCCTTACCCGTAATTATGGACTCAAGTTAAACAGGCCCATGAAGCACGATTACGACGACCGATCCGTGAACTTACCGCGTGGGAAACAGAAGACAAACAGGCCCCGAAAAATTTTTTTTTGGTCCTCAAACCCTCAAATTTGGTTTTGTTATCGTCACCTGGAGTGACCGGAATCCAAAACTTAAGTAGGCCCATCCAACCTCCCCCAAGCCCAGTCTTGTTGATGGGCCCCCATAGATATGACTGCGGACGTTAAGCAGACCACGCAGCGGACTCACCACGTGAGGAAGTGACGACGAAGTGGGCCCCCCGAAAAAAAAATGTTCTAAAAAACCATACGGTGTGTTCTTTTTACGGTATCCCACAGTGACCACAATCTCAATCTCAAATTTAGGTCGTTCCAACTTCGTTAGTGAGGCCCCCTAATATAACCTTTCGGGTTCAGCGAATGGAACGAAACTTACCCGGTGCGCAACCGACGAACCCTCAAGGTACGCTGTCCTAACACCGTCGGTGAGAATACCGTGTCCCTATTACCACCTGCGGTGATCGGAATCTACAACGTCCATCTCCCGTGGTCGGGCAGGTTCGTACGGTGGACTCGCATTAATAGCGTTGGCGCCCGTTACCTCATTTCTTCGTCAAGGAAGAAACAATGTGAAGAGGGAGAGAGTGAGAGAGAGAGAGAGATTAACAACGCTCGTCACTCGAAGCGCGCATAATAGAAATCAGCACAACCACAGCAGAAGTTTCCACGCACATGACAACTTGTACGCTTATATTTCGATCATGAACTGAACTTTTGCTGTCACCTAAAAGAAACACACTCACAAGCGGGCACCGAGAAAGCATGAGCAGTGGGCAGCAGAACAGAGGCAGGCCTTTGTTTCTCCCAATTAAAAAAAAAATGACATTTTTTTCTTTTCTGGCTACGCTACGATAAGCAACGCAGCTTCAGCTTACAGGGCAACAATTGCAACAGAAAATAGCGGGTGTAAAAAAGAAATAAGTTGGCCAAAATTGACACAAAAAAAAAACGTCACTTTACTGTTGTGTAAACAGCAATTCAACACATTCCTTTTGTGTAAAGAGCAATTCAACTGCCGTCAGTCGACACTCCAATCGTTGTTGCATTATATTGCTCGTCTACTGAGCTTCCAATTCCGCATTGACCTATAGTCAAAATTAGAGATGCTAGCCTGCGTTAGCATAACATTAATAAAAAAAACTCTTATTGTAGACAACTTGTAAGTAAACACATGCACATAGAAATAAGGTCAAGAGGAACAGCTTTAGATAGATAAAAAAAAGTAGCCACCGCATTTGCAATACAAGGACGCTGTTGAAAGGTAAAAAACTGCATTCTCATCTTACATGAACTCATTCTGCACCATGCGTTACAAGCTTCAACTTCAAATGTACATCCTCTGAGTCTTGTTCCAGAAGACCGCCACTCATCTTTTGCCTCCAGTTCCTCCTGTAATGTATGCAACTAATTGTCCACATTAGTAACTTTATTAATAAAATTAAAGAGATTAAAACATTAAATCATCTAAATTAAAAAAAATAAAAAAAAAAAAGAGCAGAGAAGGTAAAAACATGGCACAGAATGCAAAAGAACATGACTGGCAACAGAAATCATCAAGGGTATAGAAAGGGGTATTTGGGATATTCACAACTGTTTAATCCTGTTCCTAAGAGCACATGGATGGCATTCATGATGAAACATATAACACTGATATTCTCCCCAAAAAGTGTTTCAAGTCATAAGTTAACCAGATCAAAATGTCCATTGGAGAGTGTTTAGATTTCTATTCAGTACTCAAACTATTACCTCAATGTTGAATAATAAAAAAGATGGGATAAGCATGACTTCACTTACTACCTGTTCATGATATATAAGCTATTCTTCACAATAAAAAATGTATTCTTAAGTAAACTAATAAATGTCTAATAGTAGCCCCTTGAATCTAGTTTTGCTAACTTCCTAATTCTATTCATAATTCTTCGCGGCTCTAGACCGAACCTGCCCAAGGAAGTTACAGGATCATGGTCGAATAAAAAAAATTGTGGTTGGACAGTGATTACCCAATCTAGGAAAATTGAGCCTTATGCCGACTGTTAAAGCTGCAATCAATTTGTACCTCAAAACTTAGTTTTTTTACTTTGTTCAAAATGCAGAAGACATACATTCATGTTTCAAATGTTCACATAACTTGTACGCAATGTCATGCTATATAAATCAGGAACATCTACCTCATAGTATATCATCTCAATTTACCTCATAGTATATCATCTACGCAATGTCATACTATCATCTCAATTTACCAAGCAAACATCATCTACCTCAAATCTATATGATCAGTCATCTCAACTTACTAAGGCAAACATCATCATCGGACCAATCTTGGCCATTTAGTAGAAATATGTTATCGCATATAGACACCACCATAATAGAAATCAAGGCTGCACAAGTTCCATCAAACAAGTATTAAGAATTGCCGTTAGCCATTCACTGGTCCACTTGAGAACACAATTTCACTGAAAAAATAGCAAGCAATCAAAAGGGAGCTACTCAAACCCAACTACGTAGGTACTTATCATCTGAAGGATATTTATGGACTATAGAATATCATCTGAAGCAACAAGACATGGATCAGACTGAAAGCCAACAGCAATAAGGGCAATTAGAAACTAATGCATGGGAAGAATCACAACCGTGAAGGAGAAATATGTCTCTCAACCGAGTTCTTTTCCTCTTCATCATATGTAAACCATTTATCCTCAAGCATCACCGAGTCCCAAGTCCTGATATCTGCAGAAAGTTAAAGACAAGACTTCAATATTGTCCTGTTATGACATTTAAAAGACAACAAAGCAATTCTAAGAAGAGGAACCTTGAAGTATAATTTTAGAATTACTACAAAACCCTCCAAGAGTCCAATACACGCGTCCTTCTCCTTCCAAAAATAACGGCTCTGTTCGAACTGCATCTTGTCTTGTGTTATCTGAATCTGTACACAAGGTGAAGAAAATAATGAATGTCCAAAGTGGCTCACAAAACATAACTCTTTAATCAAGAACGCTACTCCCACCAAAATGAGTGTAGAAAATGCAAGGTGAGGTAAAAAGCAGCAAGAAACACAACTAGAAGATGTTGAAATTTTTTACAGTACAATTATTAGCATCCAACAGGTGAACTAGGACAATCCAATTTGAAGATTGGACATAGTAAGACAACGGAACATAGATGGTTTACAAAGAAACAAGTAAACCAACAACTGAACAAGTAGAATTCAATCTAAAGGCACACCTTTTGGCAATTGTTCCATTATCTCTAGCATCTCAGCATGAGCTTTTTCTGTCTCAGCTCTTATTTGTGAGACAAGATTCTCATGCTCAGCATCAGAATATGATCCTTCCTTCAAGGAAAGCATAGCTTTGGCCACATCATCCTTCAATTTTTTCTTTAGATCCTTTCCCTGCATAAAATCTAAATTTTTAATAACCAACTCAGTAACAAGCTATCAACTAAACTTTGAAGAAAAGACCTTTTTCTTGGCAGCAATAATTGTTTCTTTTGCCTCCTTGTTTCTTTCAATATATTTTTTGTTTTCTTTATCAATCCAGTTCCGTAGTTCCCTAGAAATAAATTGATCAATAAAAATCTGAATATATGACAACCAAGATAAAAGTATGGCACTCACTCAGTTCCAAGTGTTATATCACAGAGAAGATTCAACAATTTGAGCTTATCTGATGCATCCCAACTATCATATGCTAAGGAATCCTTGTTCAAGCATTCCAAAGGTACCTTTAAGGCACATTCAGATTCATTGATGCAGTTAACAGCAGATTGCAGCCACTTATCTCCACTGCTTGAGTACGAAACAGACCTAAAAATTTAGAATAAGAAACAAGTTCACCAGTCATTAGGCTAAACATAAAACAAGTGACATAATATTCTATGCATAAATTAAGGGTAAAGTATCATACTCGTTGCCCATGTCCTTCTGAATAAACATCAATAATTTGATGTGAAATTTAACAATTGAAGAGTGCACTCCTCGACGTCCAACACATCCTCTTGATAGTTCTCTGAGAACATTTACAGGTTCTCCTTTCTTTATATCAAGCACCTAAATGATCATAAGTTCAGTAAGGAAAGAATTCAGCTTCCAGCAACATCCTAAATTAATCCAAAAATGAAAGAGTGTGTATAATTAAGTTTTTGCACAAATTAAAAAGAAAGGAACTGACTTCAGATGAAGTAAAAGCAACTCAGTTAAGTGTCCAAACTAACCAGTTCTGGAGACCAAGAACATGAGGACCTTTTTTTTTTGCAAAATAGTGTAAATGAAGCCTTTGAAGATCAAACATAGTTCCTCATATGTGACAACCTAAACTAATGGAATTGGCAACAGTTTCCCCTGTAAAATTTTGTTGAAGATGATCAATGGGTGTATCTAAGCTTGTCTTATGTTGTATATTTTTCAGTTTACATAAGACTTCATATATTGTTTTGTTGTTTTCTTGGTATTTTTCATTTTTCTCAGAAATGATTAATCTTTTTATTTGCTAATTACTTTCTTTATCAAGTGATATGGTAAAAAAAACATGTCAGCATTAATTTCAAGTAACACAAATAAAACATTGTGGAACAACTATCCTTCTGGTCAGAAAGAACAAGTTTGGCACCAAGTCCAATCCGCCAACCCAAAAAATTGTGGACCAAGCTTAGTTTACAAGCTGCTATTACATACAAACCAGACTTCTCAATACAAAAGATAATATGCGATTCAACTTTGGTAATTGTTTCCAGAATTTCATATAGTCAAGATTATCGTACTCTATATGTTTTCTCAACATTTATGCAGACTTTTAGAACATTACACAACAATCTATACAATCTAACGCACAAAAGATAGAATGAATTAAATAAATTCTACCATAACAGATTTGCAAAGGCAAAGATGAACGTGACATTCATAGGAAAAATAGGACATCAACCCAACCCGTCACTAAGAAAATCATGAACAAACTTCAGATCACCCAAAACAAGCAAGCTGACAAAACAAAACCTACATTGGACATAATCTGATAATATTAAAGGACGCCTGTCGGGTATGGCAACAGTGAGATTTATTTAAAATTTCAAATCGTTGCTCTGCATTTAGTCAAACAATTTGCCTGTCTGAAAATGTTTCCTATAAATCAACTTCATGGTTTACTTTTTTCACATCCAAGCTACCACCTTCATAAAGGTGATTCTAGTTTTAGAAGTTCACAATGAGCTGAAAGCTTACAATTTACAGTTGTCTTGCTTTTTTACATAGTTACTACATTTTCCTTTTTCTCTTTGCTAACAAGTTTCAAATTTCCTTTTAACTTTTATTAAAAACATCAATATTCATAAACATAGTGGAAAAAGTTCTTGATATGAGAACAAATGACAAGAAGGCAGGCCACGACTCACGGTGATCATAGAATTGATTGCAAAACATATATTGTTCATGCAAGACAAATTATGAAGCACCATCTCTAAGACATTTCATCGAAAAGATGCTGATATGCTATATTGTTACGATCAAATGAATAAAGATATGATAAGAGATCTGTCAATTTTGCAACAATATTTTATAAGCCCAACCCCATGAAATGAACCCAAAAAATTAAAAGAATAGAAAAAACAGAAAAGGAGGGAGCACAAATTTGATATGAAGAATTTTACTGGTTCACCTAATTTTACAAGCATTGGTACTTCTAAAAGATACCTCCCAGTTGCCTTTTTTGCTTGGAAGGTTCAAGAGAGAGAATTTTTTTATAAAGCCATAAAGTTCCACAATAATATTAGTAAGCAAGAAGAAGTATTTGGGCATAATTTTCCTGGAGATGGTGGTTTCTGCAAAACTCTCTAACGGGAAATTTTAACAAAATCACAAGATAGTCATATGTAAAGAATTACAAATCAAAGCGCACACCTCCTCCATCCTGAATGCATCATCCTTATTCATGGATTCACTGATTTAAAGCCAAAACAGTAGTTTGAAGGATCATCTCAAAATATATATATTCTTAATTTTAAATGGAGCAACCATCATCTAGATTTCCCTACTGTATAAAAATCAACAATTCTAAAAAAAAAGAAAAAGAAAATTCAACATACCCATCTATTTAATGGATTAAAATATTATTTTGACCTAGAGCTAATGAAAAAATGGTCCCAAATCAAAGACTAGCATATGCTTTCTTTAAGTTTCACATTGTGTACCATCTGTTTGCTTTTATTTACCCATCTATTTAATGGATTAAAATAATATTTTGACCATAGAGCTAATGAAAAAATGGTCACAAATCAAAAACTAGTGTATGGTTTCTTTAAGTTTCACATCACATACCATCTGTTTGCTTCTATTATTAAAATGCATATCAACTTTCTATTTGATAAAGGTTAACTCCTATACTGACCAATGATCAGTAAACAAATTCAACTCGAGGAGACACGAGTGCAATCTAAACATAAGGTCTCTTAAAGCAGTGATTCACCTCAGCTAAAGATATTTAGATTTTACTGAACACTTTGGCATAATCTAAAGACAGAATGAAGAATCATTTCAGCTTCTTCAACAATTTTGAGCTTAAGGCAAAGTAGGTCTTCTCATGTCTGTAACCAGTAAGAACCTATGAAGATGTATGGTTGAGTACCAACTATGTCTAAACTAGTGATCAAAAATATTACAATTTACCACTTGGTGCTAAAACATTTTGCTTCACATAAATCAGTACCAAACTTTTAGAAGAAAAATACATACTTAGGCCCAATTATTAACCATAATAATTAGGCATAAAATACTTTTGATATGCCAAAGATATTTTTGTCATAATTTAAAAGGCTTAATTGTTCATTAAAGGGGCCATTGCCATTAGTGTATTAGCATTTAATGCATTTGTTGACAGGCAAGATCATAATTAATTTCAGAATACTAGCTTAATATACTCATCTAATCAATCAATTAATTATTGCACTTAAGCATTATCTTAATACTTTCACTCTTCAAATCCAGGTACATATCAACAACTAATTTGCAATACATTTAACAACAAACTTAATTTCAAGATGTCACAATTATCTAGAAGGCAAAAACATAGCTGCATAAGTAACGTAATATTGTAATGATCCCCTCTCTGGCCAAAAATATCACCAATTTTGGAACCCAGACTGACATACAGAGAGAGTCAATCAAATTGGTTGCAACCAGCATCTTATTTCCTAAACTGGTAGTTAATCACATTTTTTGGAGATATTGATGATATTTGACAAAAACATTCTGTCTCTTCACCATACAGATTCATATTCTATTTTTGTCCAAGGAAATAGAAGAAGAATAAAAAATTAAAGCAAACATCACTGAGATGATTTATTAATATATGCTGACACTAGGAGATAACGGAACATCAAAAGCCTAACAAGACATAGCTATCACTTGAAGAAACTGCAGAACTTACTATATGGAAACATAATGTTTGATTATAATGGGGAAGGAATGGCTTTGCTTTCTTCTACAGCCCTTCTCTCAAATTCTTCCTATCATAAATTCTTCAATAATGTCTTCATTCCAATTTCCTAATGAAATGATATTCAGATAGTTGACTTTACCTTTTTTTCCTTTACAAGAAAATTGTAATTTCTTTAGTGGCCCAATCATCAGCACCTGCATATTCTGTTATACTCCTTTCTATTTCACATATTTTTGCCAATTTGGTCATCTAAAATCAGTATCACCAAAATCATTCTACTATGTCCTCTATTCTTTTGCCTTTCTGGGTTAAGCAAAGAAAAGCATAAATGGAAGAACCAATGAGTTTGCCAGTTTTTTTGGAAGAAATGGCAACCATCATCACCATCCAATGCTTGTCCCATCAATATGGGAACAACCACAAAGCAAACATCAGACTCGAGAATGACACAACTTTTGCTAATTTTATAAATGAACAGCAACTCAATGTCAATTCCCTGTATACATTTCCTAGTCATAGATAATCTAAGCAATAGATAAACATGCTCCAAACCTAAAAGCTTGGATAGAATATAGAAAGACATCTAGGAGTGTTATATAGGCAAGCTAAACAAGCCTACAGAAAGTTTTTACACCAATATGTCACAAAACCTATAAAACACAAATAATTCAAATTTCTCACGTTATCCACATTGAATATTTGTCAAACAAGAAGCATATAGATACTTCTTAGATGTCTTAAATGCTTTCTTAAAGTATCTAACTTAAAAAATAATTATTCAAAAGCACATAGTTTTAGGATACTTGGAACACTTTGCATATGCTTATTGGAAGAGTTTATTTGTCTTTTTCAAAGTCAATTTAGGCAAGCTGAGGGCGTCGGGCTTCGGTTGGATCAATGTACGCAACCTTACATCATCAACATATTTCGAGAGTCTATTACTTGAACCCTGAGAGACCAAAGGAATAACCTTATCGTTATACCAAGCCCAACCTCTAAGTCTAGATAAGTTGAATATACGCTTAATATGTTCTTTTCATTCTACGTAGCATAAAATTAGCACCAATGAAATTAAAGGAATGGGACATCACTACGAAGAGTGTCCATCATTCTCAAAATTCTTGAAGCTCTATAACCTAAAATACTTTCCTATGATGAATAGTATAAGAAAACTAGGAATGACGTAATAAAACTAGTAATGACGTAATACAAATTTGACAATAGTCTCCCGAGCATAGGACCACTAGTTACTTAGTTGTTATTATTTAGCATGACACAAAATAAAACATAATAAGAACATAAATAAGAACTAAGCTTTGTCATACAAATTGTGAAGAACTAAATAATCCTTATTGCTACACGGGATACTAGTTACTTTTTTGTGATTATTCATTGTGATGTATAACTAAATATTATAATAATATAAATAAACGTTATGCTTGTCATATAAAGAGTGTATATTTGCACTACTTTAGTGTTGCAGAAGTTCCATATTATTATCCTACTTATTCGAGATTTACGCATTGGCATATATCGTCATATATTCATAGATCAAGGGAACAAACAGAAATTGTTTTTTTATAACCACCATCATGTTAGGTATGAACCATTAATTAATATCACATAATGTGTTATCCATATTTGTTTTGATTACAAAGCCCACACTAATGACAATATTTCCAAAGAAAACACTATAAAGTGCACAGCTTGGTGCAGTACAAACAGGGCCTTGATCTTTGCTCTGCAAGTGAGCAGAGATACAAATACAGACTTCAAATTTGCCATGCAAATGAGCAAACTCAGTAGAATCACACCGTAAGAACAAATCTTAAAAACCTAAAAGTACTGCACTGAACCTAGTTGAGTGTTAGCAAAAGACCAGACCTAAAACTCATAAGAAAGACACTACATTTGCATAAACAAAAGGACACCCATGCGCGTAAGACTTCCACCAATGAGGCTCCTTCTAATGCACGATATCATATCAGCATTTAACATAATGATCCTTTTAAATCACACTAAGCAATGTAGCATTATACCTCTGAAAATGCATTGCAGAATTCCAAAAATTGCAAAGCTGCACCAACATCCTCAGCTGCCCAATCAACCCCTGCAACCTCTATTAATGGTGCACCCTGAGGAATCACAATTGCTAAATTCTCACGTTCAGTAGGGTTGTTGCTACCATATTTCCTGGACTTTCGATCTTTCACCAGTTGTTTGAGTTTGACTTTTTTGTTTGGTAAGCCAGCTGACACTTTTTCCTCAATAATATTTGAGTATTTATTACCATGTTTCTTGATCTTGTGTACTTTGCGTGAAGGTTTGCCTTGGACATTATGAATTTTTTTCTTGCCAGAAACTTTTATTGCATCTGTATTTAGCCAATTATCTGTATAATCATTTGGTTGTTCAGGAGAATTTGGCAGATGTCGCAAACCTTTGAGTTGATCATTAATGCAATTCATATGGACAGGCTTATCATTATTTGGCTGCATCTCTGTATTGCCATTCTTCACAGAGGGTTTCTTTTCATCCTGCTTTTGTGTATCATCATCCTTTGGTTTTGCATTGCTACTACAGAGCCCAATTACATTCTCGCCGCCACACTCACTGTCACGCTTTAGTTTCTTCGATGCTCTTTTTGTTTCTTTTTTCGCATGTGAATTACCTTTCTTGTCATCACCACCAACAGAAGGCTCATCAAGGTGATTTTCCTTGCCATGACTTCTTTTATGAGCCACCGACCCCTTCAGTGAACAATGCTAACTTATCAGCACAAGAACGGCAAAAAAACAAGTGAACATAAATCAAACCTTTTTATAGACGTCAGGGCTTGCCGCGCTCAAACTTCTCAGTCCATTTGCAGCAGCCAACACATCAGATCTCTGCTTATAAAGTAATTCATGCACCGAAGAGAACCCAGTCGCCTTGGCGGTGTGGATGAGAATTCCTGTTGGCAGGTGACCCTTCTTCTTCCTATAAAAGTTAAGACCCACAGCCATTTTTCATTGCAACAATAAAAGGAGTGAAAATTCATAAACCTAATTCCGAGCGCAGGGAGAGAAACTACATGCAGCAGCTACAGTTGCAAACGCCACGGCATTTGGGGCAACTCCAGTCTTGCATCAGAGCAACCTCTTCAGCCTTCTCCCCATACCTGAATTACCGCAAACGCCTGTCGTAGTTACCTCAGATCGAAACACGATCTAAAGCGAAAGCGCACGAACATCATAAATCGAAACAAACCTATTGAGGAGACATTTGTAGCAAAACTTTATGGGGCAGGGCTTGTCCTTCCGAATCTGCCTGCACGGCGCCCCAAAATCCGTTGTCCTCTGCCTGCACTGCGAAAATCGGAAAAGAAAAGTATAAAAAAGGGAAACTCCGAGGATTCGGTCACTCAGATTAAGAAAGTTTGGATAGAGAGACGGAGTTCACAAAGATCTTCTTGACTACCTGATGGCAAGACTTGCCATTCTCGGAGTCGTAGGTTCGGCCATGGGCAACTCGAACGCCGAGCGATTTGTTGTGCTTGGATGGAGACGAGACGGCGGTCGGAGAGGCCTCGGCGGGGTTCTTGATATCCTCCGTGGCGGGGTCGCCTTCGGTGGTGGCGTTGTGAGGCACGGCCATGGGATCGGAAAGGCAGATGAGGGGGTGGGTCGACGGGGATTTCCTCTCTTTGGGAAGGAGAAGAATGGAGAGGAGGGTACGAAGAGGGAAGGGAATTCGTGAAATTTTGGAGTTCGATTTGAAATGGCGCCCTAAATTTTTGGGGGAAGGGGAAATGCTTCTCGGAGTTGGAAATTTACCGGGCATGGTTCCGCCTCATAAATTTTGGCTCTACATTCTTGAATTCTACCCGCTTCTACACCTTCTACGTCGTTGGGCATGGAGGTGACACACTGCCCGGTCCCAAGCATGCGGACACCAAAGACTGACGGTGAAAAGAAACGGAAGCCAGTAACGAGCTGAAGCGGCGAACCGACGCTTCTCGCCCCTCTGATGTCCGCCACCGCAGATCGTAGACTTCAGTTGGTGGTGTTGGATGACCTCGGTGCGACGCAGCGGCCGCCGGCATCGAGCCTAATTCTCTGTATGGGGCCCACTTACGCATCCAATGACCCACCGTCTGATTATAAAGAAAGCTTAAGTGGATGTGCGCCACGACAGACCAGCGGCACGTCAGTCGTGACCTGAATTCGTTCGCGCGTTCTCGTCACCGACTTAGCATCCCAGCCGTCCGCTGTGGGATCCACGTGCTCCTCCAATCGTATACTCTATGGGTCCCGCGACGAAACTGTGGACCCCCAAGTCAAGTCAACGTCGCTTTGTAACGTTGACCGAAGTGCCAACATGGATTAGCTGTGGTTCATGTTACGGCCGTATGACTAATCCATGATAGTTTTATGTAATCGCTTCGATGACAGATTCTTCGAACAACTAAGTTTGAGATCCACTCGACTTGGCAATATGTAGATGACAGATTTCCTTGATATAAATTAATTATCATTTTTATCCATTTTTCTTTGCCATGGTTGACACCGAATCAAAATATTTCCATCACAAACCCTTTTTTTATTTATTATTAAGACTTTTGATCCAATTTTTGCTTCTTAAAACCGGTGCTCTCCAAAAAAAAGTTATATTTTACTATATCCTCAAATATTCAAGGTATATGTCCAATAAACTCAAGTCAACTACTATTAGTCATGGTTGTCGTTGAATTGTAATAAAATGTAAATTTTAATTACCTATAAATATTCTTTGATACTCACATTAATTATTTGACTCTTCATTTTTTTCGATATTTTTTAAATGGAATATTAATGTCAGTTTTAGTTTTAATATTAAGTTAATTGCCAACTAACGGATATTAAATGGCAAAATAGCATATCTTCAAGTTTTAATGGATATATATATCATTTTTGTCAAAAATCTATTAGCCACAATTTGTTGGAGATGATTGGCATCCGACTTTAATGGATGAGGCATGTCTTGGCGGTAGCCACTCGTAGAAGGTGAGGTTGTTCTCTGCTATCAGAGTCCTCGTTCAAGTTAGGTGTGGACTTAATTAAGAGGAAGATCACATCGTTTGGATGGACGATCTCAAAAGATGCAGAAAAGGATAAAACATTCGGATGCAACTTGTGAACATGATGATGTGAAGCTTCTAAGAAACGCTGAAATATATTTTCTCATATAGAAAGGATTTTCTCAATAGAATAAAGGATTTTCGTCAACAGAATAAAGATATTTCCTCTTAAGAAATCTTATCTTCTATCAAACCGACCGAGGAAGGTAGACACTGGGCTCATGGTTCCTGCAAGTTGGCCAAAACAACAGATGCAGCTTTCGACCTAATTGGCAGCGCAAGTTGGTACACCACCAATGAAGCACATATCGGAGCTATGTGGAGTGGTATCACCGTGAGTTTGCCAGCGATGAGAACCACTGGTATCGCGATGATGTCGGACGATATGTGTGGAATGAAATTTTCGAGTGTTTCGCGAGAAACACAGCTAGTGACTGATAGATGACAAAATGAACTGTCCGACACGTAACATCTCAACCTCAACAACAACGAAGGTAGCCGCATCAGCAACTCAACTACGACGTGTAAATCGCACAAGGAGCAATTGAGTTACGTAAGCGACGCCAGCAGACGTTATGCCACCTTAGCAAGTGGTTGAGCATAGTCAGCAAACGTTACGACACTTTAGCAGGTGGTTCAATGTCGGCAAGCGTTATACCACCTTTGCAAGTGGTTGAGCCACATCAACGTCAATAAACGTTATGCCACCTTAGCAGGTGATCGAGATAAGTTAGCAGATGTTACACCAATGTGGCAAGTGATTGAGCCACGTTAGTTATTCCACCTCCACCACCATCTCAGAAGGAGGTTACAATAATTGCCTAAACCGCCAACGACCACAAGGAGCTAGTTATAAATACAAACTCTTTCACCTCTATTTTTCTTCCACCTCCAGTATTACTCATTTAAGTTTTGGAAAGTTCTAAGTCGAGCTACCCCTGATGTCAATGCCACCTTACCAAGTGGTTGAGCCACATCAACAAATGTTACACCAAGCCACGTCAACGAAGGTTATTCCTGATGAAAATAATAGAAGATAAGAATAATTATTGAAGAAGTAAAATAGTTTAAATATATTAACATGTCCGATACCAATTTTGGATCGATACAAATAATGATTTACGAGCGAGAGATTTCGTGAGTAGAGCACGAGCATATCGCTACTGTTGCTACGATTGCTGTTGCTATGAGGGCACAGGCGTTCCTTTCATTCCCCTTAAGTCCTCCCTTCATTCTCCTTAAGTCCGCCGACTATTGGCAGATCAACGAAGACTATCGCGGTGAGGAAGATGAGGATTGATCACGGAGCCTCTTAGGAATTTGGCTGTAGCGGCATTGGTCGCTGGCCGAAGACAAGGGCAAAGCTTTGCTTTTCTCAGTGGCGTTGGTCGCTAGCTGAAGGTAAGAGCGAAGCTTTGCTTTTCTCAGCGGCGTTAGTCGCTAACCGAAGGCAAGAGCGAAGCTTCGCTTTTCTCACTGCTCTGATATCATGATGAAAATAATAGAAGATAAGAACAATTATTGAAGAAGTAAAACAACTTAAATATATTAACATGCCCCTCTCCTATTTAGAGGAATGACCCTCTCCTATTTAGAGAAAGGATTTTCCTCAACAAAATAGAGAGATTTCTTGAGGAAATCCTAGCTTCTAAATGTAAAGTAAGGTTTGAAGCGATCAAATCGGGCTATTCCTGACCTCGGTGTTTTATAGGATCTCGGATGACACATCAGGAATTAGATAATATCTAGATTCCAGCGATAGATTTCTCTTTTATCATTCTCGATGTCTGATGAACTTGGAGTTAACACTGATCAAGCAATATGCAGAGTCATCTTTATACTCTTTGAAATTTGGCTCAAGAAAACGAAAAATATAAGTTTTTCTTTGAGAGGCGGTATAGATTCATGATATGAAACAGTGTTAATTGACTCATGACTAATAGAGAATATATTGGTCTACGTAATGCATCAGCTGCTCGCATTTTGGCCAACCTCTTTTGACATGCAGTTGATCTCTCATGATACTGTACTGTAAGTACGCGGAAGAACAAGAACTCAGATCCATCCACCGGTGGCAGAATCCAACATATGGTTTGGTTCAATAATCTGATGCAGTTGTTTGCGGTCCCAGAACACGGCCTAATATCTAACCTGGTGGTGTTGTTTAACATGAAGAGTTGTGAGAGTTGACCATCGTCTACAAGGCCAGTAAGGTTGCACATCCTCTTCGAGGATTAACATGTTCTTCCGCTGGAGATCTGTGGTAGAATTAAGTATTGTTTAGTTCCTTGTGCAAAAGACAACTTGGTCATATGTTATGAGATTAAACATATAGGTTTACAGCTGCAGATACCATTTAAAAGTGGCCTGTGTCGTTCGGATATCCTGTGAATGCTATTAACACCCACACCCACCCATCAAGACTTCCACCTTTTCAGACATCCAATGTCAATGGTCCGTTAAAGGAGGCAAACCCTAAGAAGAATTAGAACACGAGGGCAATATTATAATAGAGAAGCACATAAGGTATTAATTGACCTGCGGCCAGCTATTGCCACTGCCTTGGAGTGGTGGCTACCTCATTCGACCATAAGCCTTGTGCTTGTTGTTCACTGATGTATCTCCTCCGTTGACGAGATGAAACGCAGTCGAATTAGGAATTAGGATCACAGAAAAGAAAACAACCGAGGAATATAATTGTTTTGCATGCTGCCCAGGAACAGATGCTGCTGATTCATATCTACGAGGAATATAATGGAGCGAGCTTAATTATTAATTTGGGTTTGGCAATAATATTCTCCTTCCCTGTTTCCATATCTACGAGGAATATTTTACTCAACAATAATCTTTTGCCTACATTCTGACTCACACAAGAAGCCACATTTTTGTCGTACCGGACACACTGTGCCTTTGAACTTAAAGCTTGCAGTGTTTAGACTTGTGGCTCGATTCATAGTTGTTTAAACAGGCAACAGAGTCATGAAAGACTTGTTTGAAGTGCATTGGGATCTCTGTTCTGGTCATTTGACTATAATTTCTGTCAAGTTAAAGCCCACTAGTTCAAGTAAATGTCAATTTGAATGTCTTGCTCGAAGGATACCCAGCTTCGTTCATGCTACCAAAGTCAATGAACTTTCAGAATTTTCTTTTCATTTTAACTTAATTTTAGCAAGCCAATTCTCCCCAATAATTCATGGATTTACAAGCAATTAACACATAACACAATGTACATTCCTTTTGTGTTTTGCGTTGTTTCATGAAACAAAGGCGAAACGAAGAACAGAACGGGAAGAATTTGGAGGATAAAATCACTACAATGTCTCTACGAATGGCTTCTCGAGGGGCTTTGGCGGTGGAAAAAACTCCGTCGCCTCCTTTCCCCTCTTCCCTTCGCCATGGCTGGCCGGCAATTCTGATATGTTGACGCCGAACAGCCTAATAACCGATGGCAAGTATGGATTGTTGGCGACTGCACCAGTCCTGCAGTTGATGTACAGCTGCTTCTCCGGCCCGGTGGATCGCCAGAAACTGACCAGATCCCCGGCCTTCAGGCCCTTCTCCTTCACGTACCGGCTCCAGCCTTTGGTCAGCACGTAGCTCTGGCTACTGTTCCAATACGAGTACCTAAACCTCCACACTCTTCCGCTGGCATCCTCGAAGTTGAGCAGCACTCCCTTGCATGCGAGGCTACTGCCGCTCTTCGACGGGAAATGCTTCTCGGCGTGATGCTTCGGTATCACCAGCCTGTTCAACTTCCCGACGTCGCTGGGAGTGACAACCTTGTCGAGCAAGAACTCGCGAGCCGATCGCGAGTAGCCGGGTGTCTTCCTCCGGCCCACGGTCGCGCTCCGGCCAGCCCCGAAGGCTCGCTTGCTCTGCTGGAGTTCGTCACGGTACGT